CTCGGGACGCAGGTACGGCAGCATGAGACAGCCTAGGGCAGCTGTAGCTGGGGAGGAGTAGCGAGCGACTACAGCGTCATAGAGGGCCTTGGCTGTTTTCTACTGGCTAATGTGCGCACGCTCAGCTACGGGCAGATGGTTGCGGACAGTAAGGCGGGCAGTGGCGTCACGCATGAGCCACTTCGAATGATCTGTAGCAGATGGGGCTGGGAGGGTTCCTTCGGTATGCACGAACAATGAAATTCCATCCCTGGCCTCGCTCTTCAGGTACAGCTGGAGATCATCGAGCCTAACATCAAAGCTAATCGCGCGACCCTCAGCGTCAAAAGTAAGAACTGAGAAGTTAGCCATAGCTGCAGTAGCAGCAACAGCAGCAGCAGCAGCAATAGGAGTAGGAGTTGCAGCAGCAGTGGCAGTAGCAGCAGTAGACTCAGCAGTAGGTGGCGCTACTTGGGCAGGGCGGCGCGGCTCAGCATGGCGGCGCGGTTTGGCAGGGCGGCGCGAATCGGCAGGGCGGCGCGGCTCGGCAAGGCGACACGGCTCGGGTTGGGCAGGGCGCAGCAGCAGTAGCAGCAAAAGCAGCGGCAGCAAGGAGCAGCAGCAGCAAGGAGCAGCAGTTGCAGCAAGTAGCAGCAGCAGCAGCACGTAGGAGAAGGCGCACAGCAGCAGCAGCAGCAGCGCGCGGGCTGGGTGCGTGCAGGCAGCGCGGGTAGCGCGCTGGTGCGCTGGCAGGCAGCGCGCGCGCATAACGCAAGTAGTGCACGTGTAGGAGGAGGGCCGGGCGCAGGGGCTAGCGGGCAGCACGAGCGGCGCGCTAAGCAGCTGGGGCGCGGGCAGGGGGGTTCGCGACACCGCGAAGAAAAACGCACGGGCAGGTGGGGGGGTCGCGACAGTGAAAAAACTGCGCCAGCGTGCTGGCAGTAAGGCAGCGCTAGGCGCTTCGAGTAGGGCAGGGCAGGGAGGCAGCGCTAAGGCGCTTCGGTAGTGCGGAACGGTGGGCCCTAGTAGGATCGACTTCCTACTCTGAAACCATGTGAGAAACCTACTCGAGGGAAATGATTGACTAAGATGGGAAATGTGTACAAGTGCTAGACCTAATTGGGGTTGTACCCCTTATGGTGTACCCCAGGACAGCCTAGCAAGCACAAATGCAATTTGACACTCTACACCTTCAGAGTCGTAGTTGTGTGGATCCTGAAAAATCAGAGTAGACATTCTGTGAAAAATGTCAGAATGTTATATTTCTCTAGTCTGCAGTGGGGTACTCTATAGTGAGTACAGCCCTGTTAGGGTTTGCTACATGTATCCCAATGTTTGCTAGTGAAACCACTCTTCTCTGTTTCATTCCTTTCTTCACAATTCTGACATGGTTTCAGAGCGAGTACGCTCTTGGCCAGTGGGCCCACCTGCTTCCGCTGCTTTCGTGTCTGTCGCGCGCCCCGTGGCGCGCGACGCTTTTTTCTTCCCGCCACGCGCTCAGGGCGCGCGGCGGTTTTCTGCCCGCCGTGCGCCCCGAGGCGCGCGGCGGTTTACTGCCTCACGCGGCGCCCTGGGGGCCTGCACGCTGCCCTGCCCGTCTCCCGTCGCGGAGCCCTGGGGGCCCGCGCGTCCCCCCCCCCCCCCATCCCGTCGCCCGTCGCGGCGCCCTCGGGGGCCGCGCGTGCTGGCTAATGTGCGCACCGTTTTCTGCTGGCTAATGTGCGCACGCACAGCTACGGGCAGATGGTTGCGGACAGTAAGGCGGGCAGTGGCGTCAGGCATGAGCCACTTCGAATGATCTGTAGCAGATGGGGCTGGGAGGGTTCCTTCGGTATGCACGAACAATGAAATTCCATCCCTAGCCTCGCTCTTCAGGTACAGCTGGAGATCATCGAGCCTAACATCAAAGCTAATCGCGCGACCCTCAGCGTCAAAAGTAAGAACTGAGAAGTTAGCCATAGCTGCAGTAGCAGCAACAGCAGCAGCAGCAGCAATAGGAGTAGGAGTTGCAGCAGCAGTGGCAGTAGCAGCAGTAGACTCAGCAGTAGGTGGCGCTACTTGGGCAGGGCGGCGCGGCTCAGCATGGCGGCGCGGTTTGGCAGGGCGGCGCGAATCGGCAGGGCGGCGCGGCTCGGCAAGGCGACACGGCTCGGGTTGGGCAGGGCGCAGCAGCAGTAGCAGCAAAAGCAGCGGCAGCAAGGAGCAGCAGCAGCAAGGAGCAGCAGTTGCAGCAAGTAGCAGCAGCAGCAGCACGTAGGAGAAGGCGCACAGCAGCAGCAGCGCGCGGGCTGGGTGCGTGCAGGCAGCGCGGGTAGCGCGCTGGTGCGCTGGCAGGCAGCGCGCGCGCATAACGCAAGTAGCGCACGTGTAGGAGGAGGGCCGGGCGCAGGGGCTAGCGGGCAGCACGAGCGGCGCGCTAAGCAGCTGGGGCGCGGGCAGGGGGGTTCGCGACAGCGCGACGAAAAACGCACGGGCAGGTGGGGGGGTCGCGACAGTGAAAAAACTGCGCCAGCGTGCTGGCAGTAAGGCAGCGCTAGGCGCTTCGAGTAGGGCAGGGCAGGGAGGCAGCGCTAAGGCGCTTCGGTAGTGCGGAACGGTGGGCCCTAGTAGGATCGACTTCTCACTCTGAAACCATGTGAGAAACCTACTCGAGGGAAATGATTGACTAAGATGGGAAATGTGTACAAGTGCTAGACCTAATTGGGGTTGTACCCCTTATGGTGTACCCCAGGACAGCCTAGCAAGCACAAATGCAATTTGACACTCTACACCTTCAGAGTCGTAGTTGTGTGGATCCTGAAAAATCAGAGTAGACATTCTGTGAAAAATGTCAGAATGTTATATTTCTCTAGTCTGCAGTGGGGTACTCTATAGTGAGTACAGCCCTGTTAGGGTTTGCTATATGTATCCCAATGTTTGCTAGTGAAACCACTCTTCTCTGTTTCATTCCTTTCTTCACAATTCTGACATGGTTTCAGAGCGAGTACGCTCTTGGCCAGTGGGCCCACCTGCTTCCGCTGCTTTCGTGTCTGTCGCGCGCCCCGTGGCGCGCGACGCTTTTTTCTTCCCGCCACGCGCTCAGGGCGCGCGGCGGTTTTCTGCCCGCCGTGCGCCCCGAGGCGCGCGGCGGTTTACTGCCTCACGCGGCGCCCTGGGGGCCTGCGCGCTGCCCTGCCCGTCGCCCGTCGCGGAGCCCTGGGGGCCCGCGCGTCGCCCCCCCCCCCATCCCGTCGCCCGTCGCGGCGCCCTCGGGGGCCGCGCGTCGCCCCTGCCCGTCGCCCGTCGCGGCGCCCTGGGGGCCAGCGCGTCCCCCCCCCCTCCCGTCGCCTGTCGCGGCGCCCTAGGGGGCCGCGCGTCGCCCCTCCCGTCGCCCGTCGCGGCGCCCTGGGGGGGCGCGCGTCACCCCTCCCGTCGCCCGTCGCGGCGCCCTAGGGGGGCCGCGCGTCGGCCCCTCCCGTCGCTCGTCGCGGCGCCCTGGGGGGCCGCGCGCCGCCCCGCTTCCACTCACACGCCGCCCCAGCTGTTGCCCGCGTTTCTGCCCTGTGTTGGGGGTATGGGGGTGGCGGGTGTGTGAACCGTCCCCTCCTCCTCCTCCTCCTCCTCCTCCGTCTCCCACTACTGCAGCTGCCGCTGAGTGGGGTGGGTGTGTGGGAGCCGAAGGAGTGGTGCTAGGGGGGTGTCGTGGGAGTGAAGCTAGGGGTGCAGCAGGGGGTGTGAACGGGAGTTACTGGGACAAAGGGGGGGGAGGTTGAAGGGGGGTGGCCGCCGTGAAGCCAGCAGCTCCAATCGCCCGTGAGACCGTTGCGCCAGTCGCCCGTGAGCCCGTCGCTCCAGTTGCCCGTGAGCCCGTTGCTCCAGTCGCCCGAGAGTCAGTTGCTCCTGCCGCTCGTCTAGCCGCGGAGCCAGTTACTCCAGTTGCCCGTGTGCCAGTTGCTCCAGTTGCTAGTGGGCCTGTTGCTCCAGTTGCCCGTGTGCCAGTTGCTCCAGTTGCGCCGTGTGCCAGCAACTTCAGCTGCCGCCCACTACCTCCTCTCCTCTCATAGTCCCTCCTCCTCCACACTTGCCCTCTGTGATAGCTTCTAGCTTTGCTTTTATTTGTGAACTATAAACTGCTGCTTGTTGTGCTGATTATACCCCACTTTGATTATGGGGGTGTGTCAGAATGTTATATTTCTCTAGTCTGCAGTGGGGTACTCTATAGTGAGTACAGTCCTGTTAGGGTTTGCTATATGTATCCCAATGTTTGCTAGTGAAACCACTCTTCTCTGTTTCATTCCTTTCTTCACTATTCTGACAAAAAATAGGCCTCAGACTAAAAAAAAAAATTACCCCCAAAAAGTACAGAGTGGTTTTTTTTGAAACGTCAGCCCTGGTTGCTGTTGAGATACTAGCACAAGTGGTAGTTAGGTTTAGGGCCTAGGCTTAGTAGCCTAGGCCAAGGGGGAGTCGAGTAGATTTGTGCCAAGGAGAGAGGAGAAAATGTTGGTTTCACTATGGAGAGGGTCACAACATATAGGGCAGGAAAGGGGGGCACACCACCAAGCAGGATATCAAGATAACTACACTAACGCTAGACCTACATGCAGTTATAACAACATCATTCTGACAGTTGCACGGTGTGCTATCCTGCCACTCACCTGTAGCGCCTGGTTTTCTTGCCTGTGAGAGCCATTTTATTACCGGTACATCTCATCCCTGTGGTTCTCCATTGAAGTTCCAATCCAAGCTCCATGCAAATTCGAGAATTGAGTAGTGTTTTCTAGTGCAGCTGACTTTTGAACTGGGAAGCATTCTTGCTCTAGGTGTATACCTATTTATTGTGGTAGTACAGTTGTGCATTCCAAAATCAGCAAAAAACTTGCAAGACAAACACACTTGGAATGGAACTACAGAATGCACACAAATGCAATCCTGACAACATATTGACCAAACCCAACCCAACCCCACAATCCAGATTCAATACGATGTCTCAACCATGCCACATTGGCATTATTATGGTACAATGCAACTGGGAACAGGAGCTAAGTCCCAACTTCTGTATGTACCTCTACACCCACATGGTCGTCCTCTTTTTCAGCTGGCACCACATTTCGATCGACCCCGATGCGGACCTCAGCACTGGCGCCAGCAGCAGGCGTAACAGCAGCAGCACCTCCGCTGATGCCAGTATCTGTTTTGGCACCAACAGAGTCAGCCGAAGAAGCAGCAATCTCAGTCCCACCATCAGGAGCAGCACCATCCCCGCGCGTCTCTTTGCTCCTTACCCCGACCTTTTCCAAATCACCAGCTTCATCTGTCATCACCACCACCACCTCCTTCCCCCCCTCCCCTCCCTTCGCCACCTCACCCACCTCCTCCGCTTTCTCATCCTCCTCCACCTCCTCTTCTGGCACCGCTCGCATGAACCGAGAGAGCGGCTCTCGCGATGCGGCATCCTTCTGAATGAGCTCGTCCATCCAGGCAGACACCACATCGATGTCCGGTCGGTTCTTGCGCTGCGGGGCCACGCACTCGGCAGCGATGCCACAGAAGATTTCCATGAGGTACCCGGGGTACGCTCCCAGGCGCGGGTCAACCATGTCGTTGTACTTCCCCTCCTTGATCTTCGGAAGGGCCTGCAATGGTGGCACGGACAGGTGGGAAGAGGTTTTGTTGGGTGGATGAATATGGTTATGTGTGTGGAACAGAGTGTTTGAGGTTTTTTTTTCTGGCTGAGTCTGCAAATGGATCAAGTGCAGCCTGATTGCACGCAGTGGCGCAGCAATGCATCGATGCGAAATGTTCCAGTGTTACACGGCAATGAAGTAAAAACAAGATGTTACAGCATGTAACTCACCCACTGCACGAGGGTGACGAATCGCTTGCTGGTGCGAGAGCCCATGACCACGTCCTTCTCATCCACTATCGGCAGCTTCGCTGTTATCAACTCCAGCAGCACCACTCCGAAACTGCGTTGGGAAATCAGTGTGGAAAGGTAATGAGTTTCAGTTTACAATACAAGTACTATATTCAGATGCACACCCAAAGATTCCGCACGCACCTGTACACATCGCAACCGCTAGTGATGCGGAACCTCTGGATATATAGAGGGTCCATACAACATCGTCCATACAACATCGTCCATGCAAATGCAACATCGTCCATGCAACATCATTCATGCACCGCATTAACGCAAACGAATCACACCAATGTGATGGGAGCAACACCGCACCTGTACACATCGCAACTGCTAGTGATGCGAAAGCTCTGGAAGTACTCCGGGTCCAGGTAGCCTCGCTTGCGCTGCATGCGCAGCCGCATCGCCTCCCCTGGCAGGTGCTTCAGCACGCCCAGCCCGCCCACCTTGACCTGCGATAGACGCAAGAGACAAAGGTTGGCAACGCGGAAGAGAAGATAGTGGTTGTATGAGGTGCAGTGCAGATTCAGAAAAGTGTCGCAGAAACACTGCATGGCCTCTCCTGGCAGGTGCTTCAGCACGGCCAGGTACCCCAGCTGGACCTGATATCAAGGCAAGAAGTGGTACAAGTTAACGCACGAGGAACCAGTTAGAAGGGTAGGTTAAGAGGATGGTTGTAGGCATTGCAGAGCCGAGTGCTGCAGAAACAGCAGCAGCGTTGAATCTCTCGTGCACAAGAGTAGCCAAGCAAACACGAGATGTTTCAAATCAGGTAATGTCATGTCTGGTTGGATTATCAAGACAACCGGGTAGCCATATTTCTGTAGTCAAACAGAGCCAGTTGGCTCCCAAACAGACTGCCGCCTTATAGCAGATAAAGAGTCAGCGTATAACGAGGTATGAGTGCACCTTAAAGTCGTTATCGAGCAGAATGGTCTCGGACTTGATGTCCCGGTGCAGCACAGGGGGCGCCTTGGCGTGAAGGTACTTGATCGCCCTCGCCACCTCTGCTCCTATCGCCAGCCGCTGTCCAAACGTCAACGCAGGCTTGGAGACTGGTTTGGCGAGGGCGGGAGGCGAGGGGCAGGGGAGCACGGGCGGATTGGGACATGGGATTGATTAATATGCATATATACTCGCGGTGAGGGGGAATGGGTGATATCTCGAGGCCTCACGAGAGCACCTCGATCACCATCGTGCGGTCGCATGGCAGCCAATCAGCAAGAGAGCCGCTGGGCACGCATAGGAAGATGGGGATGTGCTGGTTGCATGGACACATGTGCATGTGCACTACGGTTGGGGAGGGGGGGAGGCAACATGCTGCCTAGCTCAACAAGAGCAGGACACTCACCATCGAGCGGACGCAGCCAGTCGGTGAGGGAGCCGTTGGGCACGAACTCAAAGACGAGGATCTGCTCGTTGCTGTCCTCACCAGATGTATGCATGTCACCCACAGGCCCCCACATGCTCGCAGTGATGTGGTAGCACTCACTGTCCAGCGGCCTCAGCCAGTCCGTGAGTGAGCCATTGGGCACGAACTCGAACACAAGAATCTGCTCGTTGCGGTCCTCACTGAACGCCAGCAGCGTTAGAGGGGAGCACTGCACTGCACTGCACTGCACTGCACTGCACTGCACTGCACTGCACTGCACGGCACTGCACTGCACTGCACTGCACTGCACTGCACTGCACTGCACTCACCATCGAGAGGCCTCAGCCAGTCCGTGAGTGAGCCATTGGGCACGAACTCAAACACGAGGATCTGCTCGTTGTGATCCTCACTGAATGCCAGCAGCGCCACTATGTTGGGATGCCGTACGCCCTCCAGAAACTCCACCTGTGAGGGGAGGAGGGGGGGAGGAGGAGTGGAGTGAGGGGGCATGGCAACGTGAGGCTATCACATTGTTCATGTCAGGCTGCTGCATGCTGCCAAGTGTGAAGTGCATTCTGTCCAAGTGGGTGTCAGTGGAGGGGCAGAACTCGATCTGCGACCAGTGAAAGGAAAGAAAGCAGGCCATGACACCTACATTTGAGAAAAGAGGTGCAAAATAAAGAGCGAAGAGACATGAATTGAGCCCACCTGGTTGCGGAAGAGGTGCTGCCCCTCCACTGACACCCGCTTGGCGCGCTTCACCGCCAGCTCCTCTCCACCGCGCCCCACCGCTCTGAACACCGCCGAGTGACCCGCGTCCTCGATAGTGTTCTCCTCGCTAAAGCCATTAGTTGCCGTCTCGACCTCCTCCCAGCTCCACTGCTCCACTGGCGCGTACCTCCCCTCCCCGTCCTCTTCCTCCTCGCCCTCCCCTTCCTCCCCGTTTCCCTTCTCGCTGTCACTGTCGACTATGCCGGATGCTTTGCCGTCCAGAGGGGCCACTTGGGGGGCTGGCAGGGCAGGGGAGGGGTGCGGAGGTTGGGCAGGGAGGGAGTGAAAGAAAGAGGAGGGAGATGTGAGTGGGTTGGTTGTGGTGGCTCATGCCGCGAGCTTTGGAGGACTCACAAGAAACAAGAAAGAAAGAGAGAAAATGTCGATGTTGCGATCAACTTGCCAGAACCACCAGATGTGGTTCACTTATATTGAGACAGTCTTTACAGCGGATGCAGATTTTACAGCGGATGCAGATTTTACAGCGGATGCTGATACAAGGAGAAGCAGGAATGCTTAATGATAACGGGGATGGGAAAGAGAGGAGGTGTGGCTCGGAGACTCACAGCGTCTCCTTGTCCTGCAGGAGACTATAACGAGGATGACCACCCCCACGAAGAGAACTGCTGATGTGACGATGAGAGCGAGTAGAGTGTTCGCTGGTGGGGATGCCACAGGGGATTCAGGAGCGGGGGAGATAGGGGCAACAGAGGCTGGCGGTGTGAGGAGGCGCGGGGAAGAATGAGCGAGGAGGAAAGGGGAAAAGGAAGGGGAAAGTGCAGGGAGAAGGAAAAGGAAAAGACGGGAAGAGATTAGAACAGAAGATAGAGGCAGGGATCCGAAATATGGCAAACTCACAAACGTGCATCAATTGCTGGCGAGAGGTCAGGGGAGGGGGTCAGAGGTAAGAGGAGAGGGGTAAGAGGAGAGGAGCAAGAGGACAGGGGTAAGAGGAGAGGGGTAAGAGGAGAGGGGTAAAAGGTGGGAGTAACAGGTAAGGGTCGGGTGGGGTGGAGGGGGCACGGTGCGAAAGGTGAGGTGAGAGAAAAGGAGGGAGTGAGGCGTCGAGTGAGACAGGCAAGCGAGACAGGAAAGCGAGTGGGAAAGGAGACACGAGGGGAGACGGAGAGGAGGAGGAGAGCGGGAGATGGGGGCTCACTAAGGGGCATGTCCGCCAGTAGTCGCCGCGGCGGTGTGCCCACGCCCAGCAGCAGCCGACCTGCAGGGGGCCGGCACAAGAGGGGACGAGGCATGGGATGAGGTATTGGATGAGGTATGGGATGAGGTATGGGATGAGGTATGGGATGAGGTATGGGATGAGGTATGGGATGAGGTATGGGATGAGGTATTGGATGAGGTATGTGACGCGCCATGGCATGAGAAGCTAGCACGGACACACGAGCTCGCAAGACACAAGCAGCCATCCACCCTCTCCGTCCTTCCAACACCATGCGCCATGCGCCATGCGCCATGCCCCATGCGCCATGGCTTACCAGCGTGCGAGGCGAGGGCGTGGGGACAGGCGGCCAGCAACAGGACGAGCCACACGCTCAGCGGCACCACGTCTGGGTGCTGCTGCCGGCCCCGCTGCTGCTGCCCCTGCCAGCTCCACATCGCCGCCATTCGCCCTCCGCGCACGCGCTTGCTTCCGCGTCCGCGCCTCTGTTCCCGCGTCCGCGCGCCTGCTTGAGCCTTTTGCGTGCGCTTGGTTGCGCCTTTTCCGCGCGCCTGCTCGCGCCTGCTTCCGAGATCAAGAGGCAAGCGGACGTACGCCGCCAACCTGGGTTTCCGACCACCCTGGGCTCCAATTCAACTAAGTGCCTGCGGATGCGGCGCCGCCGGTTATTTCAAGTTGGCGGTTATTGGGGCCTCTTTCGGCGGTGTGATTGATTCGAACGGCAATACTTCGCACCTTCTTCCGAACCGAACCTTCTCTGAGTTGAAGCAGCTCTCTGCCAACCCTAACGCCAACACAGTCTACACCTAATTCAGTCAGGTGTCCCTGAAACTGAATTGCTTCACCGCTTCGTATACCTCTCGTTCTCCTCCCACGTCCTCGCGTTCTCTTACTACCTTCACTGCTAGATATTTACTCTTCGGCTTTCGCCGCTTCGGCTCTTCGCCTATTTGATGTCCGAAACACGCGGAGCTACGCCAGCTGCCGCGCTAAAATCGATTCCCAAGATATCGCGGTGAATCGCTCGCGGTAGATGAAGAACGGCGGAGCTGATTGCGGTGCTGAGAGGTTCTACGGAAAGAAGAACGTCGACGGAGTATAAAAGCCGTTCACGCGTCTCGTTCAGGCTTTTCTGGATCCATGATGCATTACGGAAAAACTGGGAATTCCTAGTAGCCTTGTGACCTGCGTGTCTGGGTTCTATGGTTGAGTGAAAGTATTCCGAACACTGACGGCTACTGAGAGCTGCTATGGCAGTGCGAAGGATCGTTTTCGGGCAATTTCGGTCGTCATTGGCTGCTCGAGAAACACGTTCCTGGGAGAGTCAATCAGGAACGGAAATTTGGTGAGTCGACTCACGAGAGTCAAGCAGAAGATGAAACTGCGCGGAGATGGCTTAGGAGTCAAGCAGAAAGAGATGCCTCGAATTCGCTACTCGCTCATCCGCCCTTGCTACCTTCTCTTCTGCGGTTTGTAAGTGTTTGCCATTCATCGCTGCGATTCCTTGTGCGAATGCGCACTGATGGCGCGCGCATGCGCACTGATGGTGCGCGCACGCGCACTGTTGGTGTGCGCCAACCCGCCCAGCTTGCGCCGGACGCGAACCACGAAGCTGGCATGCGGGCAAAAGGCGCTACCTTAGCGAGGGGATTCAAAAATTGCTGGACTACTATAATGCGGAACGAGGATAATCCAGCGGCTTTGCTAGCAGGGGAACGTGTGACGCGTCACAACACAAGAGAATGCGCAGCTAACAGGGATGGAGGAATTGAAACGAGGAGACAGGGGAGAGGAGGGGAATGCTGACGTTCAATCGTGGCCGTCGATATATTTATGTGTCAGGGGCAGGGAGATTTGTATGCGGCGCACTTCGCGGCGGGGTCACCGCAAATGGAACGCGGTGACTTTCGGGCAGACTCTCCGGTATTTCTGGTTACAATCGTCCGATTTTGAAGTGAAAAGAATTCGACGGTTAATGATGGTCTCAGAAAGATGTTGAGCTGACCCGTGAACGTGGTGCTGTGTGGATTGGTGCTGACGGCAGTGACGCCAATTATTGCCAGTGACGCCGATACAGCAACATTATAAATTTTAAACACACATTGTGTTTTTTAAATTGTGTATTGTGAAAGCGAAGCTGCTTGTACTGCACATTTGGCATCGTCGAAGCGCGCTAAACGCCCTTCTCCAACTACAAAAAAACCGTGGGTTGGAGCTCATTTCCCTCCACCCACGTTTCTCTATTTCCAACGGCTCACTCAACTTTCCCGCTCGAGTAGTTTTTTCCTCCGTCCAAACTGGCTAGAACCAAAACGCTTCCTCGAGGCGTTTCACCCTCGACTTTACTCAGCGATATTTTTAACTTCAATCGCTTAACGATGGCACCTACGCCGGCACTTAACAACGACAACTCGGCCAACCCCGCTTCCGACTCCGACCGTAACGCCCGCGATTTTGCGGGCGATCGACGTAACAAGCGTCGGGCAGAAGATGGACCTTCCGCCCCGACTGGAGTGGACGTGCTGCTGGGCGGGCTCGATGCCCAGCACCCTTCGGCGAATGTGGCGCCAGTGGCGCCTGTGGCACCAGTGGCGCCAGTGGCAGCGGCGGCTGGCGCGACACACGCGACTGACGCGGGGCACACGCCAGCACCCGCGGCTGGACCGTCGCGTCAGCGCCAGAGGCGACGACCGGCGGTCTCCTCGTCTGACGCGACGGCGACCCCTACGCTGACGCAGGCGTTGACCCCGGACCAGGTCAACGCGCTGCTGTCCCTTCTACAGCAGCAGCCCGTCAGCGTTACAGCCGCGGAAACTGCACTACCTGCTGCATCTGCGTCTGCTAAAAACGAAACTGCAAAAAAGGAAAAAGGAGTGCGAGAAGCAAGGACGAATCGGCGCAACAACGACGCAGCGACCGGCGTTCCCCCTGCTCCAGCGGTCGACAACGACACCGACGACTCCGAAGATGACGCCGGTGAGGCTCCAGTCGACAATACTAATTTTATTGGCACGGAAAATCTCCCCCCCCCTCCCTTCTTCTAACCTCACTTTTTCGGCGACGACATTCGTCAACGACTCCGTGCGAGAGCAAGCGGAGCTGCTGGAGGACTTGCGCGCGTACCTGCTGCACGCGGAATACAAGGCGCAGCGCGGCGACTCGGCAGGCGGACTCGAACTCATCTCACACGCCCTCAACCTCATCGCGGGGCGTTTCGAGGTGCTTCAAGTGGAGGACGCCTCCGACTTCCGCACGGCGAAGCGCTTCAAGCTGTACCAGCAGAAGAGCCTGCTGACCTCTCGACCCTTCAAGCAGGCGGTCGCGGACATGGCTGCGATGGACCGCGCCGCAAGCGCATACGCTCGCGTCAACCGCGGCAGAAGCAACGCGCCGATGCCGTTCATTCCCAAGCTGGGTCCCCCACCCACGGCCAATTGTCGTGGGTTTCGGGGCTCGTGCTTCCGCTGCGGCCAGCCGGGCCATGTGGCAAGTGCCTGCCCTAGGAACGGGCATGGTGGCCAAGGTCCCGCTCCGGTAGTGTAGGAGCGGACCATGGGAAATGCGCTCGGAGCGCAAGGCACGGTGCACTCTAGAGTGCGGAAACCGTGGGCAGCCCTAGGGGTTTGCGATGGCAAGAGGCCAGCCCTAGACAAGGGTAGAGTAGGCCTTGGGCCTAGGTTAGGGAAGGGGAACATCAACCCCTCGGTCCCATGTATTGGCCACTAGGTGGCGTATGCATGCTAGGAAAGCATTGCTATGTGTGTCGGGTCGATTTAATAAAACATTATTCCTAAAGGCCCTCTGATTTTGGCAAGTGACACTCTAAGAAACAAAGTGGTGCAGAGCAAGAGAGAAAGAGAATCAGAGAGAAAGAAAGAGAGAGAGAGAGAGAGAGAGAGAGAGAGAGAGAGAGAGAGAGAGAGAGAGAGAGAGAGAGAGAGAGAGAGGGCATGGACAGCCGCATCCAATCGTGTGTGGACCGTGGGGCGAGCCGGTCGGTGCTCGGCACACTCATTGACATAGCAATTCATTATCAATTCTGTCCACACCGTTTACAAGTGATCTCAAGCACGTGCACACATGCAACACACGTATTTTTAAATAAAAAGTGCAACCCTTGTCCCATGCCACGAACACACAGGAGCGTGGCAATACGAGGCGGCATGCGGCGACGACCCATACGAATTTGCCATAACGGACAAAACCGTTACACATATGCGCGGCCGGCTTCGCGCGACCTTTGCATGGTGGAGCTCATGGTGCTCGAGTAGCCTTGTCCTCTCCGTCATAGCCAAAGGCTATTGGTTGCCATGGAGCCACGGCCCACCGCAACCCTTCCACGATCGCAACCATGTCGGGGCGAACACGCATGCCACATTCACACGTACTGCCGTACAAGAACTCACAGAGACCGGAGCGGCAGTTCCGATGGCCGCAAAGGAGCTTACTTGCATAAGTCCGCTCAACGTGGTCGAGCAAAAAGACAAATGCAGGCTCATTCTTGATCTGAGGAAAGTCAACGCCCACTTAATTGTCCCCAAGTTCAAGTACGAGGGACTTAACCGGGTGGCCGACCTGGCACGCGCTGGGGACTGGATGTTCTCCATCGACCTCAAATCCGGCTATCACCACATCGACATCCACCCCTCGTGCTGGAAGTTCCTTGGATTCGAATTTGGTGGACACACATACGCATTTCGATCCCTGCCATTCGGACTCGCCACAGCTCCATTCGTCTTCACGCAACTCATCAAGCAACTTGCTCGGCGTTGGCGAGAACAGGGCATCCGAGTAGTGCCATACGTGGATGACATTTTATTTCTCTGCCAGTCAAAGGCCCATGCGCAAGCTACCTGTCAGCGCGTAATATTGGACCTCAAAGCAGCGGGGCTGGTGATAAACGCGAAGAAATCGCAGCTCTCACCATCGCAGCACCTTCGATTTTTGGGTGTAGAGTTGGACACCGACACCGGCCGATTCTCCATCGGTCCCGACCGACGAGTCGCGCTACATGCAACCATCCAGAACCTCCTAAGTGCAAGCAAGGCAAGCACACCAGTCCCCGTCCGTCATGTGGCCAGAGTCACAGGCATGCTCGCCTCAATGAGTGTCGCACTAGGCGCGACAGCTCGCGCATTCAGCCACGCCATGTTACAAGTGATCAACGACGCGCCGTCATGGAAAAGCAGTGTGATCGTCTCCCCATCTGTTGCTGAGGAGCTCAACTTCTGGCGCGAAGAGTTTGATCGGTTTAACGGTGCACCATTCCACGTCCGAAACAGTTACGACGCTGTAATCCATGTGGACGCCAGCTCTCACGGTTGGGGCGCCACCCTGACCACGTTCCCGGGCGGCCTCGAAGAAGCTAGTGCAACCATGCCAGAGCCGCTACGAGCAACGTCCAGCACGAGACGGGAGATTGAAGGCGTCTTTTGGGCAATCCAAACGTATGCCAACAAGATCCAGAAAAAACACGTTCTCGTGCGGGTGGACAACCAAGGTGTATTCTTCATCCTTCGCAAAGGCGGCTCTCGCAGCCCCGACCTCACCATGGCCTGCAAGGGCATCATACGAACATGCATGGAGCTCGGCACGCGCTTAATCATCGAATGGATTCCCCGCGAACTCAACTCACACGCTGACGAGCTTTCCAAAATAGTCGATCACGACGACTACTCGTTGAAGACGCCATGGTTCCGCATCTTGGAACGTCGTTGGGGTCCCCATTCCATCGACCTTTTTGCAAACTCCCGCAACACCCAACTATCGCGCTTCTGCACAAAGATCCCTCACCCAGACGCCTTCGCAATTGATGCATTTTCGCTCGCATGGACAGGCAAAAATGGTTTCGCGTTCCCCCCGCCCCAATTGGTCCCCGCCGTCCTCCACCACGCACAACGCACCCACGCATCACTCACACTGATAGTTCCGCACTGGCCGGGCACAAGCTGGTGGCCACTACTACAACCCTCCCCATGCACGTGGGCGTCACACATCCATGCACACATCCCTCTGACACACGGAAGCCAATGCTTAGCTGCAGGGACACATTCCACTGCCTTCTCAGGCTCAGGATTACCGCACAGCCCAATCATAGCACTCCGAGTGGTATTTGACTAATTCATAACTTCTCCGCCTTGTGTTCAGAATTGCTCCCAAAGCTACACGACCAGCTGATTAACATGATCGCACAGTCTCGTGCAAACTCGACGATCCGGACATACGAACCATACTGGACTAAGTTTCGAGCCTTTTGTACAAAGGTGAACCTTGCATTTCTCCCCGCATCCGACATGACCCTCGCGCTATACCTGGTCCACGCAATCCAACGTAAAGCTACCCTGTCCGTAGTACAGCTCACGTGCTCAGCAGTCAGCTTCGCCCATCGCATGACTGGGAGCACATGCCCGACGGATGGGCCATTCACCACAAAAGTCCGCGACTTTGCGAAACGCCATTGCCCTCGCCCTACTCGTCTGAAGGAGCCCGTATCGATCCAACAAGTTCGAGACATGGCGGCGAGCTACCTGCTGTCTGACAATCCGGCGGAATTCCAGAAAGGGCTGATCCCTATCCTCATGTACTCGGGATTTCTGCGATACTCCGACCTCGTGGCTATCAAATGGCAAGACATCCAATTCGACGACGATGTCATGTGGATCCTCATACCACACTCCAAGACGGATCAGGCCGGTCACGGAACATGGATACCCATTGCGGCAACGGCGGACCCTTGCTGCCCCGTGCGCTGCACCAGACGCTTCATTCAACTTGCTGGCTACGGCCCGCACTCGGAGGGGTCGTTGATCCGCGTCTTCGGCCATGCCTCAACCAGCGTGGGCCAGGCCAGGCCACCTTCATACACGACGATCCGGAACTGGTGCAAGGAAGCCTTCGCAAAGGTTGGGCTTGGAGAGCAGCAGCTCGGCACTCATTCCTTCCGAAAAGGCGCGGCCACAGTGGCAGCCAACACCGGTGTACCAGACAGAATCTTCAAAAGACTGGGCAGGTGGCGAAGTGACACAGCCAAGGAAATGTACGTCACGCCATACGTCGAACCTCTCATCAAGGCATCGCGCATCCTGCAGAACCCGACACTTGCATTGTCCTCGGAGCAACACGCAGAGGCACTCGTACGCAACCGGAAACCCCCGCTGCCCATGTCTCAGAGGCCCCATTTGCAATGAGAACGATGCCAAATGATAAAAACAAGAAAGCAAGCTTTCTCAATATTATAAATTTTAAACACACATTGTGTTTTTAAAATTGTGTATTGTGAAAGCGAAGCTGCTTGTACTGCACATTTGGCATCGTCGAAGCGCGCTAAACGCCCTTCTCCAACTACAAAAACCGTGGGTTGGAGCTCATTTCCCTCCACCCACGTTTCTCTATTTCCAACGGCTCACTCAACTTTCCCACGACCCACCCCAGCATCGACTGCCTACTAAGGCCGTTTGGACACGGTACATTTTAGCTAGTATTCTCTGCATGTACTAGCTTGTGTTAGAACTCGATGGATATGTTGTAATATGCCATTTGCAATGAGAACGATGCCAAATGATAAAAACAAGAAAGCAAGCTTTCTCAATACAAAAATCAATGACACAAATCGATAAAGTTGGCATTTGTGAATAGAGGTGAAGATGAGATGAGTCATCAAAGGGAAATGGTGGTATTAGTTTCATCACTAATGGTCTAGGCCCAGCTTCATCAAAATTGAGGCAGAGACACTCTGCAGGACAAGGCATGGGTACCAGAGGCACAAGCACAGAGGCAGTAGCAAACCATATCGGCCCAAAAGCAGGCCCGGAAGGAAAGCCCAATTGGCCCTCGAGAAAGCCCAGAGACAAGGCCTTGTGAAAGCCGAAGTGGCTTCTCAAGGCTCATCCCCAAGCCTACGTCTAGAAAGAAACGGCATTGCCTGTGCCCTAGTATCCCTCAGCCCGAACGGCCCCCTGACAGGGATAAGGCCCTGACAGATCTGCCTACCCCAATTTATGCTGCCCTTGGTTTATGGTCTGAAAAGAAACGGCTAAAACGTCTAGGAGTGAGGGAAAGAGTGAGGACAGGAACAAGAGTTGGGGAAAGAAACATAAGTGGGTGGAGAGAGGTAGGGAGACGATAAGAAAGTAATTAAAAGACCTCCAGCCAAGAAACTCAAGCCCCTGGCTGCTACCAAATGCTGCTGGCAACTCGTGCACACACAAAGCACAAGGCGCCTTGAGTGGCTATGGCAGTGCCAGCTGCAGCTGCAAGGAGCCCAGAGCAGGGCTGAGACGCCCCAGAACTTGTCAGTTCCAATCCAAGGCCGCCACAGCAGTACATTCACTTCAACTGCAGAAACGTCGGCAAATGGGAGAAGACTCTAGGGGACTCTTCCCCACTGTTGAAGCTCCCACACCATCTCGTAAAAGCCCTTTCCCACGGCTCCCATTGCAGTCACGCACAGTTATCCGCAAAGGCTGTGGGAGCAGCAGCCTCAGCAGCAGCAGCAGCAGTGTCAGCCTTAGCTGCAGCAGTGCCAGCAGCAGGCTCCGCAGCAGCGGAAGCAGTAGCCTCAGCAGCGGCAGCAGTAGCAGGCCAGAGTACAGATTCCAATACCTAAAAAGTCTACTATCGAAAAATCTCCCCAAGTGCAGCAACGACTCAACTCCTCTGTTAGCTCACCACACCTGAACAATCCCGAACCGCACCCCACCCCCTCTCTCCTCCCACCCAAACCCCCTCGTTCGGTCGAAAGAGTAGAAGGCAGAAGGCAAACAGGCCTAATCCCAGGCGCTAGGAGGAGCGTTGCTGTATCCACCACCGCCACCACCGTAACCGCCACCACCATAACCCCCTCCTCCTCCGCCATACCCACCCCCGTACCCTCCCCCACCTCCATACCCCCCACCGCCATACCCACCCCCGCCATACCCCCCTCCGCCTCCCCCGCGCTCCTTCCTGAAATCCCTCCCTCCGAACCGGTTCCCCCCACCTCCTCGTCTGCCCTTCCCCCCGCCGCCATACCCCGACCGCGACGCGAAGTTCTGCAGCCACCCGGGCACCTCCTGGTTCGCCTCACTCATCAACTCTATCAGCGACCGAGCCAGGTTCGTGTCCTTGTCACAGAAAAACGCCGTCGCCAGACCGGTCTTCCCGGCACGCCCGGTACGCCCGATCCGATGCACGTAGTCATCAATGTCAGAGGGCAGGTCGTAGTTGATCACGTGGCTCACGTGGGGGATGTCGAGGCCTCGGGCCGCCACGTCAGTGGCGACCAGGATCGGCGTGCGGCCGGAGCGGAAGGAGCGCAGCGCGGACTCGCGCTCCTGCTGGGACCGGTCGCCGTGGATGGAGGTGGCGGGGAAGCCGTTACGGCACAGCCAGTCCTCGAGAGAGTCGGCTCCCTTCTTGGTTTCGACAAAGACCAGCGTCAGCCCGCCCTGTGATGTGGTTGGTGGGGAGGGGAGGTGGTTGATGAAATGAGAGAGCGCGTAGGGCGCAAGGGTGGAGATGTTGGAAAGGGGTGGCTCTGATGACAGTGCTTCGAACAACTCCCATGGACAATCACCCAGTCTCCCCCCTTTCCCCTCACACCACACACCGCGTGCAAAGAACCAAGCACATCACACCCTAGAAGCACTCACCGCGTTGCCAGTAGCGCCGTTGGTGGTATGGTGCGCGTGAATCAAATCCATCAACACGGACCGCTTGTCGTGCTCGGGCACATACTCATTGAAGGTATGACTCGAATGACACACGCAAACACTGCACTCACCGCGTTGCCGGAAGCCCCATTGGAGGTGTGGTGGGCGTGGATCAAATCCATCAACACGAACCGCTTGTCATGCTCCAGCACATACTCCCAGGATAGCAGATATGCAACTACTAAAGCAAAGCCACACACTGCACTCACCGCATTGCCAGAAGCGCCGTTGGAAGTGTGGTGCGCGTGAATGAGATCCATGAGAACCGATCGCTTGTCATGCTCGGGCACATACTCCACGCGCTGCTGAATGAGGTCCGTGGACGACCCCACTCACCTTCTGACTGTGTTGTGTACTCACCGCGTTGCCAGAAGAGCCATTTGACGTGTGGTGCGCGTGGATCAGATCCATCAGAACCGATCGCTTGTCATGCTCGGGCACATACTCCACGCGCTGCTGAATGAGGTCCGTGGACGACCCCACTCACCTTCTGACTGTGTTGTGTACTCACCGCGTTGCCAGAAGAGCCATTTGACGTGTGGTGCGCGTGGATCAGATCCATCAGAACCGATCGCTTGTCATGCTCGGGCACATACTCCACGCGCTGCTGAATGAGGTCCGTGGACGACCCCACTCACCTTCTGACTGTGTTGTGTACTCACCGCGTTGCCAGAAGCGCCGTTGGAAGTGTGGTGCGCGTGAATGAGATCCATGAGAACCGATCGCTTGTCATGCTCGGGCACATACTCCACGCGCTGCTGAATGAGGTCCGTGGACGACCCCACTCACCTTCTGACTGTGTTGTGTACTCACCGCGTTGCCAGAAGCGCCGTTGGAAGTGTGGTGCGCGTGAATGAGATCCATGAGAACCGATCGCTTGTCATGCTCGGGCACATACTCCACGCGCTGCTGGATCAGGTCCGTGGGCGACCCCACGCGCCCCACCGTGCTCGACCCCACTCCCCCCCCCCCCCTGACTGTCTACTCACCGCGTTTCCGGAAGCACCATTTGAAGTGTGGTGCGCGTGGATCAAATCCATCAACACGGACCGCTTGTCATGCTCCGGCACATACTCCACGCGCTGCTGAATGAGGTCCGTGGATGACCCCACGCGCCCCACTGTGAGAAACACGTAGTTGGCCAGGAAGTCCGCGGCCAGGCGCTGAATCTCTTTGGGGAAGGTGGCGGAGAACATGAGCGTCTGGCGCTCGCCCGCACGCGGCATGCCCTCCTGCTCCACGATGCGCCGGATCTGCGGCTCGAAGCCCATGTCCAGCATGCGATCGGCCTCGTCCAGGGCCAGGTAGCGCACCATTGTAATGGACACCTTTCCGCGCTCCAGCATATCGCACAGCCTGGGGGGGGGGCAGTGGTGAGGGCGCAAGGGAGTAGAGAGGGTTAGTGTTGGGGAAGAGGATCTGCGGCTCGAAGCCCATGTCCAACATGCGATCGGCCTCATCGAGGGCCAGATAGCGCACCATTGTATTAGAGACCTTCCCGCGTTCAAGCATGTCGCACAGCCTGGGGGGTTGTGGGGTGGCCAAGGGAAAGGAGGGTGCGTGTGATCAAGAGAGGATCTGCGGCTCAAAGCCCATGTCCAGCATGCGGTCGGCTTCGTCCAGGGCCAGGTAGCGCAGCATTGTGATGGACACCTTGCCTCGTTCGAGAATGTCGCACAGCCTGGGGGGATAGGGGTGATCTGGGGAGTGTCCGGGGTGACGGGGCAAGGGAAGAGGAGGGTGCGTGTGATCAAGATGATCTCCGGCACTGACTGCACTGCACACACCTGCCCCTGCGTTTTCTATACGTCTTAAAACTTGAAACTTGATTCAAACACGCAACCTTGAGAACTTTTGGTTAAATTGCAAATACGCTTCTGCTTGTTGGTACAATTGCTGGTTGGTGGGGGAGAAGGCGGCAGAGGAGAATGTACCTTCCAGGCGTGGCGACGAGGATCTCAACTCCCTTCTCCAGCTCTCGCATCTGCATTCACACAGCATACACGTGCCACAGCAACAACACGGCAGGCATTGCCAACGAACATGCAGTGCAGGATGAGGGACATGAGAAACACACGCAACAGTGAACACACATGCGGTGAGAGGCCAACAAAGAATACAGCCTGCCTGCAGAGACATGCAGCGGAAAATGAAAGAATGAAGCAGCAAATGTCACTGTTCTCAATCCGTTTGCTTGTACTCTGAGAAAGCCATACCAATTTATTAATTCTTCCAGCATACCAACCAAGGTACAATTGATGAATGTACGCTGCAACCAACTGAGTAGCATAACGCCTCCCACCTTTACCTGCTGCCAATGCAAACTCATAGGCAGGAACTTTACCTGCTAGCTGCCAGTGACGCACATACTTACCTGCTAGCCGTCAGTTACGCATATAATTACCTGCTGGCCGGCAGGGGCACCGCCATAAACGACGACAGCGCGCAGGCCGGTCTTGTAGGCGAACTTGCACGCCTCCGCGTGGATCTGCGCGGATGAGGACAGGGAGGTGAGGGGGATGGGCGAGGGGTGAGGGGGGAGAGGGCGATGGAGCGAAGGCGAGAGGAGAGCGGAGAGGGGAGAGGGGCGAGGGGCGAGTTTTGAGGGGGAGAACAGATTCGTCGTCCAATCCCTCGAAGCCTCTCCGCGTAACAGGTGGCTTGCAGTAAAACATTCAAACGAACAACTCCCACACGCCGTGCCACTCCGCCACGTGGCGTCTCACGTGGCTGGTCAGCTAGCGCGTGGGCGAGAGGATGCGCGAGCGGGAGCGCCTACATTCAGCGCTGAAACTGTGAAAATGACGCAATTGGCTCAACTGGCGCAATTGCCGCAGCAGTGACGGCAGCTCATCACTTCGTCGAATCCCTCACCTGGCTGGTGAGCTCGCGCGTGGGCGACAGGATGAGCGCGAGCGGGAACGCCTTGCGGCCGAAGCGGGGGCGGTCGGGCGGGGGCCCGGACGCGAGGATGCCGGAGATGATGGGCAGGCAGAAGGCGGCGGTCTTGCCGGAGCCCGTCTGCGCGCACGCCATGAGATCGCGGCCCGCGAGCGAGATGGGGATGGCGTGCCGCTGCACGGGCGTGGGGTTGGAGTAGTTGCAGCGCTTCACGTTCTCCATCACCGCCGGCTGCGAGCGGGGTTGAGAGCGGTCGGGAAGAGTACGAGAGACGAGCAAAAGCAAAAACAGAAAGCAGAGACGAGGAGTAGTTGAGATGGCGAATATGAACCATTTCGCTTTTTTTTTAATATGAAAAATACGCAACAAGAAAACGCTCTGCAGCGCCACACGTTCCCCATCACCGCCCGCCTGCATGGCAGAGGGCGGTTTGTAAGATTAGGGGGGGGAAAGGCTATGTAGCAGCGGCGGTTATGCGATGAAGAATGGCCAGGTGCGGAGGACGACCACAAACCTTTTAGGAGATTTCTGAAAAGATGCATTAAGCCACTATTGAAACCCTGCGTAGGAAACACTGTACGCGTCACGAACGGGTCGAGCACGCGTCCCGCACGTGTCAAGCACGTATCCGCCACACACCTGGAGGCCCGATCCGTCGAAAGCAGTGATGGCTGGGGGGACATTGTCTCCGCTGGTTTCGACGGGGATATCCTCGTACGCGTCGAAGTTAATGCCCGTGTTCTGGTGGTTCTCAAACACCGCCTCTGAGTCCTTCTTTGTCTGCGATGAAAACGGATCCTCCTCCCGCCCGCCGCCTGACCCGCTAAACCCTCCCAGAGGCCCTCCGCCGCCGCCACCGCCGCCGCCCCGTCTCCCGCCGCCGTATCCCCCTCGGCCGCCGCCGTACCCGCCTCCGGCGCCCCCCCCTTGCCACGCGCCTCCGCCCCCTCCGCCGTATCCTCCGCCACCCCAGCCGCCTCCGCTTGAAGCTCCGCCGTTCCATGCGCCGCCCGGCGGAGGTCCCCCGTATGCGGGACCCGCCGCGCCTGCCTGATCCGCCCACGATCCGCCAGCTCCCCCCGCCGGCGCATTCCAGGAAACTACCGGCGCAGGGCCGGGGGCTCCCGGTGGGCCCATCCCCGGCATACCCGGGGGCTGCGCAAAATCTCCCCCGCCGACTGGTCCGCGGCCGCGCAGGTGCGGGGGGACGTACGATGAGATCGGCTGCCGTAAAATTGGTCCCTGCCCGCGCGGTCCCCCCGGAGCGGAAGGCCCGCCAGCGGGGTGCATGTATGGCGCAGGGGGGCCTGGCGCAGGAGGATGGGCTTGATGGGGGGGGTTGATGGGTCCTTCTTCCACCACGTCGCCCCAGCCTTGACCCGCCATACTGACTCAAATAAGAAAATGAAGCTCGGATCCGCTTAAGGAAGCCTGATTATTGTGGGTTGATTACCTTAACGAATTTAAGTTTTACACCAAATTGTAAAAGAAAACCTGAATCTCGCTGCGATAGAACGACTATCCCGACACCTTCAAACCGAGGACTACAAATCCGCACAAGGTACAGCTACACGATCTAGCGACCCGGAGATAAACAACTGTTTCTAGCAGACCTATAGAAAGTTGTACTTAGACCTGGTTGCGAAAACCTAGCCTGGACTTGGCTACAGAATGATGAAGGTCAAATCTAGGAGGGTTGAGTTGAGTTGAGAGGCTGAGAGGGGGAGGAGAGGTGCGGTAGCGTGCATAGAAACGGTAACTTCGCGAAATGACTGCGGTAACGAACACTCAGCGACGACTGGTACCTAGTTTCGTCAAGTCTCGCATGTGGTAATTCAAGCGGCGAACTCATCGTCACTCCCAATATGTATTTCGGTCGCAGCGGAGTGGGAAAGCCATAGCCTTGAAATTGTCTGGGAGAAGCGGCGAAGGGATAGCAGACGAACCATGCAGGATGGGTCTGAAGGGTTACAGCACCGTGCAAGCCAATCACATCGCTCCGTCAGTTTCTGACGTGTCAGCCAGATGGATCGCGAATCCAAGCAATCTGAGACCCCCAAATCCGTGGGTGTTTCCAAGGATTTCCAAGTGTATCTGAAGCACCAGAAAGATTATCACAAACAGAAAATATCTCAAAAATGCTTTTGAAGGCCTGAAGACACACACCTAGCTGGCCTTTATTCGGCAACAAATTAAGCAATATCGGTCAGGTCAGAGCAAACCAGGTTACAATATCATTTTCTATTCGACATTGGCAACGAGGGGGGAGCCTTGCTGGCACCATCTTTACCCCAACCACCCAAACCTTTTTTGTCCAAGTCAGCAAAGGACGTCGGTGGGGCACGTCCTCTAGGAGTCATCCCAAAGGGAAGAGCAGCACTGTAGCCATCAGCTCCATTAAAAAACCCATTGTCATTGTTAGAGCGGTTTTCTGAGCCATTCGCTGTAACCGCGTTTTGCGAACCATTCAATAATGAGATGTCAGGAGTGGTTGTCGAGCAGTCCTTTCTATGGCTGGATTCTTGCACCGAAGAGAGTGTACTCCTGTTGTTAGGAACAGCTGCCGGTAATGGTGCTTTAACTGGCACTTTGGGCAACCTTGCACTGCTGCTGCTGCTGCTACTGCCGGAGCTAGCTCCTGGACCTCCACCCGAGCCTGCGCTGGCGAATCTATCCGAGCCTACCTCCCAGGGCGGTTTGACGGATGACCTGGCGCCACGAGGGGTGGTGAGCAGCTCTCTCTGAGAGAACCCCCCATAGCGACCCGCCCCCCTGGGGGTGAACCCCACCCCCCCACTTTCCACATTCCCACGCCCTCCTGACCCCATTCCCTGTGCTGCTGAGGGAAGATCGGCAGCTGCACTAGCACCTGCATCTGACTCTGCCCCACCATTCTCCTTTCCCTGTTCTTGACCCTGTCCCACTCCCTGGTCCCCTCCCTGCCCTCCCCCCTCCTGCTGTGCCTTGGGCACGGACCGCATCAGCTCCTGCCCGTATATGCCCATGCCTCCAGGGGGGAAGAATGCGAGTGAACGGGGGGAGAACGACGACGGAGACGGCAGCCCCGGACCTCCTGCCAAGCCTAGCGCCCCGAACCTGTTCTTTGGAATCCAGCTCGGCCATTCCTTGGACCCGAATGCATTCCCTCCTACCGAGCCTATGCCCGAACCAGCTGCCGAACCTGAGGGGTTGTCATTCCAGGTGGGTTCGTTAGATAGCCACCCGCGACCCTTGTGTGGCAGCACGTTCGGCTTGGCTGAGAGGGAGACGAAGCCTGCTACAGGACGAGGCGTGCCGCCCGTGAGAGCCTTTTCAAAGTAATCAAAGTCGGTGTCATACTGAGAGCGGGGGAGGGCAGACCAGCAGGAGGAGGATTCAGTTGGAGGAGGGGCGGGTGAGTTTAGCACAAGGTTTCGGTTTGGAATTCGGATGGGAACAGGTGCGGCTGCAGATGCACCGGGTGCTGGCCCTGATATTGCTTCAGGTGCTTTATCAGGTGATGTGGGTGCTGCGGCAGGTGGCTCAGCTGTTGCATCTGTTGCAGCGGCAGCAGCAGCATCGATGGCCGCAGCAGCATCACCACTGGAGCCTTGCAGAGCATCAATTGGAGGCACAGTGGCCCCGCCCACCCTGCCAGGCACTACTGGCGACGACACAGCAGTCAGGCGTAGACACGTCACCGCCGCGCTGCTTGCACTGCTGCTTGCATTGCCACTTGCATTGCCACTTGCATTGCCACTGGGATTTGTGTCCCCTCCTCCCTCTTCCGCCCCCCTCTGCTCCCTCTCCCCCCCTGCTGCGCCTGACAGCTTCGCCAGCAGGCGCATGGGTGACAGGCCACGCATGCCCCTCCCCTCGCCCTTCCTCCTCCGCTCCCGCCCCCTCCCCCTGTCCGCCCGCCCCTCCTCTCCCCCCCTTGCCTCCTCCCCTACCACCCTCCCCTCCCCTATCTCCTTCTCCTCCTCCACACTCCCTTCCTCCCCTTCCCCTCCCACCCTCCCTTCCCCCTCCTCCACCGCCTCACCCGCCCCACACCCGTCCTCCTCCTCCCTCCCCGCCTCCTCCTGAGCCAGTTTCCGCCTGCCCCAGTCCGAGCCTCCCCCAGTGCGGCCCAGCCCGCGCAGGAAGGGGCGGCGAAGGCGGATATCAGAGGGATCTAGCAGACCCCCGCACCGCAGCTGTCCTGCAAGCGCCTCTAGCTGCTCCTCTGAAAGACTCTCACTCCTCCTCGCACGCCCCTCACTGTTCCTGCTCCTACCCGTTCCTCCTGATCCCTCTGCGTCTCCTGCTACTGCTTCTTTTCCTTCTGAAGGGCTGTCACTTTTACGACCCTTCCCCTCCTTCCCCTTCTCTTTCCTTCCTGATACTTCTTTTTCCGCAGCTGCAGCCATCTTCCGAAGCTGCTCTGCCTCCTTGCGGTCCCAGCTTCGGCGCCGAAGCTTCTGCGCGAACCTGTCCACCGCACCAAAGAGAGAGGTCGAGCCTAAGAGCGAGGACGAGGTTCGGTAGGCAGAGAAGCCCGGAGACCCGGACTTCTGGCTAGGTCCGGCAGATGTGGAGGGCTGGTTCGGGGGCGTGAGCTGAGAAGAGAGGTTGGGAGGTTCAGGAGAGGTGGGGGTGTGCGAGGCGTTTGGGGCAGAGGCAGCGTGAGGCAGCGAGGGAACAAGAGGGCTCGCAGGTGTGGGTGATGTGCTTGGTTTGGGTGCGGAAGGGGTTGGCGTTTTGGGTTTACGCGGGGTTGTTGGCTTGGGCTGAGATGGGGTTGTGGACTGGGAGGTGGAGGAGAGTGTGGAGGGTGAGAGAGGAGAATCAGACATGATTGTTGCTAATGGAGGTGACTGGGCTACTGAGGACGCTGCTGTTGGCACTGCCGCCGCTGCTGCTGCTGCTGGTGCTATTTCATGTGCTGCTACTGTTGTGTCTGGTGCACTAGATGCACTGCCACTCGTTGCTGATTCAGGCGCAGCTGCTGCTGCAGCAGCCCCTTCAGACACCTCACAGCCACAACTCTCTCGGGCACCATCTAAAAGTTTCGCGTCCTGCCCAAGGTACGTCAACCCCTGCCGAGCCACCACTTTCATCAACTCAGCATCAGCCCCTGCCCCACTCCCCCCACCCACCCTCCCCTCCCGCCCTACACCCCCATCCCCAAGGGCAGCCAAAAAACTTTCCGGCTCCTGCCCGTCCGTCACCATAACCGCCTCCCCGCCCAGACTTTCATACTTGATAATCTGCCTGGCGGTAGCCAACCCCTGCTGGGCCATAAGGGGGTGGCACTGCTTGCCTTCCCAGCAGAACACAGCAGATCCCACCTGCACCAGAAAGCACCCGCGCGGGTCGAGTGAGTGGCGGGCGAAAGGGACGGTTTTGGGCACCAGATGGAGGGCGTCGTAGGGAGAATGCGGCGCCATGCGGTACATGTGCTGCCGAACCACGCCGCCCGACGCTTCAGACGATGCCAGCGCTGCTGCTGCTGCTGCTGGCGAATCTGCTGGCGTTGGGAGGGCTGCTGCTGCTGCAGAAGGGGCGGATTTGGGCGGCAGCACGCGTTTCTGCCACTGCAGCAGCTGACACGCAAAGCCCATGTTGGGACTCGCCACTCCCCTCACCGCCTTCACCCGCCTAAACGCCTCCTCAAACTCCATCCTCTGGAGACGGACGGGGGAGGGGGCGAGGGACACGGGGGAGGGCTATTTACCACTACGTTACAGCAGCAGGTTTCGCTTGGCATCTTAGGTAGACATGAAGCAATTAGCTTGACTGATTCCACTACCCCGGCTGAAGACCCGAATGCATCCACATGCAGAGGAGTGGACAATAATGAGGACGTGTATCACGTCGTACTCGTTAACAGACAATTCGTTGTAAGACTCCTGCACTGCTCTGCCCACCTGTGTCCACATGAGGTAGGCGATAACAAGCGACGTGGAGCGCGAGACGCCCTGGCAGCAGTGCACGAACACGCGCCCCCCGCCCTCCCTCACCCCTTCGATATAGTCAAACACGTCATAGAGCACACATGTTATGTCCTCTGCTGTGTTGTCCTGTAGAAGAGGGGAGGAGAAAGGAGAATGGGGGAAGGGGAATGAAGTGTTGGAGACGACAGAAGAAAGTGCAAAGGATAAGCAGCCGTGGCCTCCCGCACGCCCTCCATGTAGTCCAACACGTCGTACAGCACACATGTTATGTCATCCGCTGTGTTGTCCTCGCGGGAGAAAACGAACCGTAGCCTCTCTCTCACCCCCTTCCATGTAGTCAAACACGTTGTACAGCACACATGTTATGTCTTCTCCTGTACAAATAGGGAGGACGGGGGAGAGGAGGGCAAACGGAGGGGTGCAGAGGGGTGGTATCGTCAGCAGCACCGTCAGCTTCCTGTGAATAAGCAATACGGAATGGCGTAACCACTTATGCTCACCCCAACTGCTCCTTCCTAACCTGCGCCTCACTCCCCCATCACCTACCCCCTTTTCCCCCCCATCCTTACTCCCCTCCCCCCACCTTCCTCCCTTCTCACCTGCAGCCAGAGCGTCTTGTACACGATATCCCCAGGAAAGTACTCGGGGCACACGAATCCCACGCAGTTGAGCACGTGGGTGACACCCGCCTCGCGCAAGATCTCGGGGCTTCTTGCCACATAATCGCTCCCCACGAACACGTGCTCCAGCACGCGGCTGCAGTCCTTCTCGAAGAACGCGAATTTCTCCTTGCGCGCGCGCACCTCCATCGCCTCCGCGTTGAAATCCCGCTCCGTGCGCGCGTGCAACGCGCCCAGGTCCAGCCGGATTTCCCCCAACCCGAGCCTGGCGCGGCTCAGGCTCGGCGAGCCTTTCCGAATCGCCGGGCCAGCTCCGGACGTGCCCAAACGGCCTGATGCGCCTCGTCTGCTGCTGGACGCGCCGATTTCGCCAGTTTCGCCCGATTTTTCGCTTTCGTCAGTAGGGCTTAATAGGAGCCCGTTTCTGGGTGGACAGATAATGGTAATTCCCATGTCTAAATCGGCTTCCTCTGTAGGTGCTATTAAGTCGGGTCGCGGAGTAACGGGAGGAGGAATCTGAGGCAGCGATAAGCAGAAGTCCCTACCGCTGCTGGTACCTATCGACGCGGTCCGGCGGATGGAAGGCGGGCTGGTGATTGGCTCGAGGGATATCGGGTCGCGCCGTTCGCCTAGCTCTATATCAGGCGGCGGCAGCAGGTCGCCACTCATTGCGACTGCAGCGGACCGACCGGACGGTGTGTAGTGGTCTTGCCGAGCCTGACGGAGGCTCGGGACCCCCTGAAGCAGGCTCGGAGGCGCGGCATCATCTATGCACGCTGACAGCTCCATGGCAAGCGATTCTGGCGCTAAAGAGCCGCTGAGAGATAGGAGCTTGATGGGCTGGAATGGTATGTTCGGTATGTTCGATGGGTTAGACGCTCCTGGCAAGCACGAGCGGCTTTTGAGTCGACTCAAAAGTCACCATGGCAAGCAATTCTGGCGTTAACGAGCCGCTGAGATAGGAGCTCGATAAGGTGGAATGGTATGTTAGGGTTAGACGCTCCTGGCAGGCATGAGCGAGCGCATCGCGGGAACAGCAATGACGTGGACAAAATTAGTGTCAGTTTTGATTTGAGCTTCATTCAATTCGAAGATAAAAGCTATCAGCCCGAAACATCGTCCAGCTTCGAGTGATATTAAAACGTTAGCTATTGAGTTCAAGCCCCGACTAATTCATGACGTTGGTACGAAAAGAAGAAAAGAATCAACAACAGGGGAGGAGAAGCGAGACAACTAAGGAGGACTGAAATACGCAGTCTAAGGGCGCGTAACGTTTTTGCTTTCCATCGTCCGGACGGAGGCCCCGTCACATGTCGTTTAGGCAATCGCAAGACCCCCTGCGACGTCGTTACCGTCCGGACTAATTTAGGCACTTTTCTGCCAGAAAGTGGTCCGGACTAACCTGCTGACACCGTCCGCCCGGCATTTCGGACGGTCCGTCCTGGCTGCGCTGTCATTGGGGCACGAACTGGGTGACAACCTCAACCAGTAACGCGCGGAGTTACATTCTGTGGCGAATTTTTGAGTTCTGTACGATTTCTGTAATTGCGTGTTACATTGCGTGGCGAAATATCCTTTTTCCAAAATTGCAAAAAGTTTCACAGCTGTGGTCCGAACACCCTATCGTCCGGACCTGATTCCCAAACGGCCGGCCGGAGCTCCGTCCGGCCGGTTTGGGGGCTCCGTCCGGATATTTGACGAAAAGAGAAAAATTTACGCGCCCTAAACTGAAACTGCTGGGTCAAACGAATGACTGAAACGTGGAATCAGCAGAAAATATCAACTCTCCCCGTCTAGTGCAGATAACGGAACACTCGGGCAATGCCGTTCTCTCGAGTCTCGAGGCAAGCAGCAGCTGAACCACACAACCCAATCCAAACCAAAAGCTTGCCGCCATTGCTCTTCGTGCTCCGCGGAGTCTCCCCCGCACCCCAGCAGTAGTGCAGCCACAGTTCCCCCCCCTGACCCTGAAAATGCCGTGCTCGCACCATGCAGCACAGCACTACGCGAAGGACCAAGTCGTTGCGCAAAGCGCAATCTGCTCCGCAATCTGCTTCGTGCACTGTTCACTGCCCCCCCAGATGCTTTCCTTGGCCACGCAGCTGCGCGGGGCCTGAATGTTGCCCCAGCTGACCCGATTGGACCAGCGGAAACCGTCGGTGCGGAGGTTGGCTTTTCGGGGGGAGCTGAGCCAGTCAAACGCCCGCGCTGGTCAGGCGCAGCGCAGAGGTTGAGTCTGTCTGCTGCGCGCAGAGGAGACGAGGAGGTTGACCCGGACTTGACCTCCCCAAAAAACCGATTTACTTCGCTAAAACGTTCCTCAATTCCATTTTAACGGATGGTTCACTTGAGTCAGGATGCCTTTCCAAGGCCTTATTTGTTCTTGTTTTAGAGAGAATCCATAAAATAGATCACGTGTAGCTATAAATCGGTATCCATGCTTCAGCCCGCATCTCCCTCACTTCACCATGACACTCAACAGTCGCAATGCTCCTGATCGGTTCAGGCATGGCGGCAACTAACTAGCTCTATGATATACGCCAGTGCTTGTTCCGGTGGATGCGCCTGAATTTCCTCACTAGATTTTCCCACTGTCTTTCTGCACTAAAGGGCTGGAGGTAATCGCGAGGGATTAATCGCGAGCCTAGAATGGAGAGGCACGCGGGTCAGGCTGGGGATGACATTATCGGAGATAACGACAATCTCGAAGGGGATGCTACGACAGCGGAGGGAGAGGACGCGTTGCTGATCAAAGCGCGAACAGATTGCATTTTTTTTCTCGCATCGCCGCTAATGTGCAAGAAGGTGAATAACTTGAGACGACAGACAAGCTCATTAGGTATCTTAATGTTTCAATTGAAGGCTTTCTGTAATTGTGGCGAGAAATTCTTAATTTCCGTTCGTCTGTGACTATCCGCGCAGGGAGCGACATGCGAGTTTCGCCATTCCGAAGCAGCGAGGCGGAACCCGCGTGACTGCTACTACTGGATCAGTTGGGGGTGTAACAAGGCCGACTGCGCCTTCATGCATCCGGTACGAGTTGGTTCCCGCGAGTCTCGTTTCCCGCTACTCTTTATTCCCGCTTCGCTTCGAGTCCTGCTAATTTTGTTGTATTCGTACAGCCATGCTATTCCGCACACATTGATATCAGCAATCCCAGCCAGTTTAATTAATTTTAGTAAATACATGCCCTCTTCCGCCTCGTTTCCTCTCCCTCGTTTCCCTTGCAGCCTCTAGGCAGGCCGCCTGGCGCGGCTCCCGCTCCCGCGTTCCCCGTGGCGGAGGACAAGTCGCGCACGCCCTGCTTCTTCTTCGCCAGGGGCGCGTGCGCCAAGGGGGACCTCTGCCCCTTCCGCCACGAGACCCCTCCCACTGACACCTCCGCAACTGCTGCTGCTGCTAGTCCTGCTGCTGCCGCAAATCATGCTGACGCTGCTTCTGACCCCCCCTCCGGCCGCGCTCCTGTCGCCTCTGCTGCTCCTGAAGTGGAAAAGGAGCCGTCAAGAGGCTTGGGTACCGGTTTGGTTAGAGGTTCGGGTAGAGGTATGGGTGGAGGTACGGGTAGAGGGGCAGAGGAGGAGTCAGGAGCACCAGGGGGGTGGGATGCTCAAATTGATCCAGGGATATACGGAAGGAGGGCTGGGGAGAGGGGAAGGATGGGACCGGGTGCAGGGAGGGGTGTCTTTGGTGCTGGGAGTGGGTCCGGGGAAACAGGGGACAGAGGGTTATCTGGTGGGGGCAGAGGTGGTCGATCAACGCTGCCAGTCGGTTCAGCATTCGAAGTAGGGCGAGGCCCTACGAGGGGTTTTGCTGGTGGGGCTTATGAGCAAGAGGAGCAGCAGCTACGACAAGAGCACCATCACAACCATCAGCAGCAGTATCATCATCAGCAGCAGCAGCAACAACAACAACTGCAGCAGCAGCAGCAGCAGTGGCAGGGGCAGGGGCAACAGGATTGGGCGCAGCAGCAGCAGCAGCAGCAATGGCAGGAGCAACAGCAGAATCACCATAATTTCAACCATGAAAACAGGCAGCAGCAGCAGCAGCAGCAGCAGCAGATGATGATGCCAGCAGCCCAGCCCCGTGGTTATGATCGTGCCGTTGGTCACACTCCAGGTCACCCTGGTCAAGCTCCAGGTCAGCACGGGCACCCGGTGACTCAGCACGGGCACAGGGCAGTGCAGGGGCGCGGACGGGCAGTGGGGGTGCGGGCGGTGATGGAGGAGGCAGCTGCAGCAGCCGCTGCTGCTGCCACAGCACCACGGGGGCCAAGCCCTGGGCCAAGGGGTTTGAGTGGGGAAGCAGGGAGAAGGGAGGGTGGCAGTAGAGGGCGAGGGGAGGAAGGTAACGTTGGGCTTAGAGGACGATTTGTGGGGGAAAGGTCCGCTCAGCAGCTCATGGCACATGGTGGGGCGAAGGTGCCTGAGTTGCCGCTATCTCCCATGCTAGGTAAGAATGCCTCACTTGCTTTTCTGGTTCCTTACATGCCTCAATGATCTTTCCGAACACGCTTTGTGTGTTTTACCTTGGAGCATTTGGCAAACAAGGATACGAGCTCGCTTGAAACAGATGTTTACCATTTCCTCTTGTTTGCTTGAATATTGTGCCTCAGGCGTGTTGGCAGCAACTGGCGGCACTGCAGCAGTGGCAGCAGCAGCAGCAGCAGCAGCAGCAGCAGCAGCAGGAGGAGGAGGAGCAGCAAGAGGGGTGCGAGCAGGCACAGACAGAGTAGCCAGCATTACAGTCACCTCAGCTGCGGCCAGGGGTGCAGCACCTGACAACATCACCACACCAGCAACGAACCTACCTTTGAAGGGTCGTAGGCTGGTGGTGGCCGTAGGGAGCAACGCTGACAGTGCTGGGAGAGTCGTTGCAACCAGTGCCCGCGCTCTGACTCCCCAGCAGGAGCAAGGTCATCAACAGCAGCTTCAACCACAGCTGCAGATACAGCAACAGACGCAGCAGCAGCAAGGGCAGGTTCAGGGGAGAGCGGTGGGGCAGGGGTTAGTGATTCGTGCGCGAGTGGATGGCGCCTCAGCGTCCTCTCAACGTGTGGTGCAGGCGTCTTCCCTCCCTGCCTCCCATGTGTCCCTTCCCTCTCAAGCATCCCATCCATCCCACACACCCCACACTCGCCACACGCCCCAAGCACCAGGAGCACCCCATGCCTCTCATGCTACATGGGCAACTGACCAGCGTCAACCTGTGAAGGTAAATTCGTCCGGCCCTGAGGTCCCACCAGGGAGGAAGGACCTGAAGCGGGTCCGGTCCGAGCAGGAGGCTGCTCTGGGGAACGTGGTTCGGGATTTAGGTTCGGGGCGTGCAAAGGTTCATTCAGAACAGGATACGACCAGGCATGGGCAGGCTGTTGTAGGCCGGTTGCAAGGGAGACTCGCCGAGCCTGTTAGAGGTTTGGAAGGTTCGGCAATCAGTGGCGGAGGCTCGGCAGGGGATGGTAGATTGTCCGTGAAGAGACGGCTTGGTGGTGCCGCTGCTAGCACAGTGAATAGCACTGGTGCTGGTGCTGATGCTGATGCTGATGCTGATGCTGATGCTCGCTCTGCTGCAATGGGTGGTAGGGCTGCTGCGACTAGTGCTGCTGCTGCTGTGGCTGCTCGTGCTGCTGCTGCTACTGGTGCCGGTGCGCATGCTCGCGCTGGCTCATTGTCTGAAGCTAACGGGCTTGGCGTCAGGGAAGGAAACGGTGCTGTGAACAGTGGGGGCGTGACAGGTGTCAAGAGCAGACTGGCTGCCAGGCTGTCCGGGCCTGTGGGCAAGGCGAATGTAGTCAGGGCAGGAGGCGGCTCTGATGGTTCCAGGGTCGGTGCCGTTGCTGCTACCACTGCTCCCCCTGCTGCTGCTACTGCTCCTGCCGCTGCTGCTGCTGCCACCCCTGCTGCTGCTGTTGTGAAGGTGGGGGAAGCATCGGGAGCAGGAGGGGGGGGAGAAGGCGGGTTCCGACCCAGAAGTTTGGCAGAGATCCTGGCGGAGAAGAGGAAAGCCCAGGGGGCTGGTGCGGGCCCATCAGCATCAACAGCTACAGCAGCAGCAGCAACGTCAGCAGCATCGCCATCATCTGGAGCAGTGGGCACCAGCAGGGGTACAGGAGCAGCAGCAGGAGTCCCAGCCAGTGCGCCTCAATCAAGACCCAAGGCGCAGCTCATTAGGGCTGCTGCAGCTGGGTCTGCTGCTAAGACTGCTGGGGAGAGAGCTCAGACAACGGCACCGCAAAATCCTGCGAATGGTCGTCGTGAATCAGCCAATGCGACAGCTGGCAAGGCAGCTCCAGTGAAAGCTGGCGAAGCAAGTGGTCTGTTCTCGGGCCCTCGGCCGCTCTCAGAGCTTCTGAAGCGCAAGCGAGCAAGCGACGAGGGGGGTGGGGGTGATGGTGGGGTAGCTGGTAGTGGGGCAGAGCAGGAGAAGGCTGTTGGTGAGAGGCAGACGAGGCTGGCGGAAGTGGAGGCGACAGGTGGGCAGGGTGAAGGGAATGTGGGTAAGACCAGGAGGCTGTCGAGAGTGTTGAGTGGGCGTGGTGGCGGAGAAGTGGGGAAGAAAGCGGCAAGCACAGGAGCAGAAGCGTTGGGCACTGGAGCAGAAACAGCGGGGGGAGAAGCAACAATTGCAGGCACAGGGGCAAGAGGCGCTAATAATGAGGATGTGGAAAAGGATGCTGTCCCTGGTGCGGCCGCTGCCCCTGTTTCTGCCCCTGCTGCAGCTGTTGCAGTGGAGGAGAAGGGTGGACACGTGGCTGATGCCAAACTGGCTGATGATGCTGATGATGGTATTCTCCTGGTTCGCAGTGGTAGCTCTCAGTCGAAGGGGGAGAGAGCAATTGGAGAGGTGGACTTGGGGGATGCGGAATTGGTCGATGAAGAGGACGAGGATTACGACCTGGAGGGGAAGCTTGGCGATTTGTGGTGAAGGGAACACCGTCCACAAACTACCTATGTTATCTCAACAATTTGGCCTGCAACATGCGCTAAAAAAATTGTTCTCATCCATCCGTTTGATTCATCTTCGTGGGCCGAATTGTAGTGTTTTCGGATCTGCTAATACGCAGAAGTAGATGTTGACGGTGCGGTGAGTGTGGGGCAGAAGCAATCTGCGTGGATTTGCCCTCGACACGTCAATTTTCTTCTCAAACCACGCATGGCGAAGCGCAGCCACGTCACACGGACACTCGTTGGGCTTCCAGCGTCGAAGTTGCGATGATGTTACCCTGCACCACTTACACAAGCAATCTCCGCCTGATGGCAGTAATAGAAAATGACGGTGAGCGACAGGAAATAATCTTCGCCAATATTACGATGTTACCAGTTATTGGCAGAAGACTTCACTACCATGCCAGTTCATGATGTGCCATCAGATCAGCTAGATTTGGCAGCGGATCGCAGAGCGATGGGTAGGCTGGGACCAAGGATTTCACTGCGCGTCCAACCAAAGCTGGAGACGACCGCTGGGATGATAACACGTGGCGATAAAGCTTCCCATTGGCCTCATCCAACGGTCGGCACGCCTTTTTCTGCACCGCCTTTTTCACCTTCCAGACCTGGCCCCGCTTCGCCACTGATGGATGCAAGATTGTTCGTTGCTGTCGCGACAACCCCGAGAAATACTCAGTTCATTCGGCGGCCAAGTTTGATGCTTTCTGGGATTGCCTGGCTGGCTGAATGCAGAAATCTCGAGGTCCTGACGCGACGATATTGAAAATGGAGGGATAAGGCTGCGTGGAGGAGAAAAGCAGCCTTCGCGTTTCACAGATGTGCTTGAAGCGAAGGAAGCGAAGATCCACGGCTATAGAGTATAAGTAGCAGCAAGCAAAGAAGCCTGTTCTGCTGCTACGTGCTGCTGATGTTTGGAGGGATTTCCTTTCCAGCCGGCGACATCGTCGGTTCAGCAGTGTTCGGAAGCATCATCCATCGTGTATCGTCGCGATGAATCAGGCTCTCCTGTTGCGCACGGATAGCTTGCACATGCGCGAATCATGGATATGATGTTTCCACACCATAAGCAGTTTAACGGCCAGCTTTCGACCTCGATGAAGCTTTCCGCCTTTGCTCAAGGCCCTCATTCACACATGTCATGGTTCATGCTGAGACTTCTGGAGCTTTCATTCAAAAGTTAGTACCTGACGGAACACCGCTCATATCCATGACTGAGCATGGCTATAGCGCCACCCGGTATCAAGGGCTCGGCGCCTAGGACGGTTCTTAGAGCATCCTATAGTGTGACGACGTTAAGTGCTAGTACCGAAAGTGGCTTCTCGCAAAGCACCAATAGGGAAGATTCTATACGAGAGACTGCTAGGCCTCCATCATTGGGTGGTAGGGTAGCTACGCCAAGTTCAATCAAGTCGGTCATCGAGCGTTCTTGGAAGTCTGTTTTGGAAGCCGAGCCGCGGAACGGATTGCTGCCAAGAAAACAGCTGATTGCGGGTGATGCTTCTGGCTGCGACGGCGGCATGGAAGTTCAGGATCGCGCGTCCAATTTGAATGCGGAAAGCGGCGAAGTGGCTCCGCAAATGTCCCGTCCAACCGAGACTTCTTCTCAGGCTCGGGACGAAGATGGAGCCGCTATTGGTGGAATTCCGCCTTTGTCTCATCGTCTGATTGAGAGTGTGCGTGGGGAGACTCGCGGCGAGGAAGGAGCAGCTGCAGGGGCACAGAGCGGTGGTACTATCGAGGCTTCAGGTGACGAGAAGCAGCGAGAAGAGGAGCCTGTTGTCTCGGAATCGGTGGATTCACCCGAGGCTGTGTCCGTGTCAGAGGACGTAGAGAAGTTAAATAACGGAGGGAACGGAGAGAACGGAGAGGAAGCAGCGACAGCAGAAACCGTCGGAGTAGAGTGTGATATAGGCGTTATTCAGGCCTTGCAATTCGAGTCAGAGCTGGCGCTCAAGAAGATGTCTCTTGACCCCAACGCAGCTGAGTTCACGCCGTCCTTCGCGCCTTCCCTGTCAGCAGTCGCTGCAACACTGTTATTTTCAGACTACAACCCTCTCAGCACCACTGCCGCTGCGGACGTCTCTGCTGCCGCAGCAGTTGCCTCCTCTGCTGCTTCATCCGCTTCGTTTGTGGTTCCTCCACTCATTCCTCCCCTCGCTACCGGCAGCACGATCCATGCCTTCAATCTTAGCCGTCCGTTCCCGGCCATCTCCCAGGTTGTTTCGATCGGCCCGCGACGGTCTTCCCCTGTGCCTCCACGTGGCAACAGTCGGTGGGAGTGTGGTTGGAGTGGAAGAGGGGAACGGAATCTACGTGGTATGCGGGGTGGAGGCAGCAGGAGCAGCAGCTCTGGAAGCAGCAAGCATGGAAGCCTGGAGGATGTTAAATTTTCCCCATCATACGTTTATCTCGAATCGCATTCTTTGGGCGGTGATGCTTCGTCTTCAGCTTCCGCGGCTGCTGCTGCTGTTGCTGCCTCCTCTGGTGACGGTGCTTCTTCTGATGCTGCTGCTGCTGGTACTGCATTTGTCGCAGCTTCCTTTCAGCACGCCTTTCCTGCTGTAACACCATACCACGTGACTGGCATGTACAGTGCTCCTTACAGTAACAATATACAGTATCATCCCGCACCTTTTCAGCAGCAGCAGCAGCAGCAGCAGCAGCAGCAGCAGCAGCAGCAGCAGCAGCAGCAGCAGCAGCAGCAGCAGCAGCAGCAGCAGCAGCAGCAGCAGCAACAGCAGCAGCAACAACAACAACAGCAGCAGCAGCCACAGGAAGGGGCTTCCTCTGCATACTTTATACAGCCACAGGAGCCATTACAGTCACAGCAAGCACCGTTATACTCACATCCGTTTGTGCATACTAACCCTCTCTTACATGTACAGTCACAGGCACCATTGCCCACACATCCGGGCTTCAGGGCTCCTTACATTGGGTATGAAATGGGGGAGGCTCTGGTGCCTCCTCCCCCTCCCACGCCCCCCACGCCCTTGGCTACAGCTGACGACAGAGTGTCCCGGGTGATCATGGTCTCGCTGTTGCCACCACCTAAACAACTACCTGACGCCGTTATGGCGCAGGAGATAGAGAGAACGTGGGGTCCTTTGAGGTGAGCTGGAATTGTTGTTCAAGAAAGGGTGACAATGGCTATCACCCTTAGCCCCATTCACTCTCCCATCCTTCATCGCGTCCGCGGCAATACCATTCGTCCCTCCGTTGCATGCGAAGATCCTCTCGTAAAGCTTCCATGGCAGCAGTACGGTCTTATACCCAGTAAACCCCTTTCATGCCTCTCTTTCTTTCCACCACCCGCTGCCCTTTCCCCCTCCTCCCCTCTTTTCAGATTCCTCGACCTGTCCCGTCGCAGGGAAGGCGTAGCCGTGGCACATTTTTACGACCTGCGCCATGCCAAGGCGGCACTGCGGGACATGCAGCAGCAGCACTGGCTGCAGCAGCAGCGCACGCACCACCGAATCCTGCTCCGCCTGCGCCAAATACACACCAGGGAACCCCCCGAGAAGATCATACCAGACCCCTACCGGCCCCTGCCGAACGAGCCTGTTCCGTTGAAAGGGCTGGGGTTGGTTGGCGGGTGGGTGGTGTGGGCGCAAACGGTGGATCCTGATGGGGAGGGAGGGGCGTGGGCGGGAGAGGGGAAGGGGCCTGGGCGTGGGAGGGGGTTCGGGGGAGGTGGGGCGGAAGGTGGAGGCGGTGAAGGGAGGTTCGGTGCAGTGCAGCGGCGTCAACAGCGACCGAAGTCGCAGGGCCCGCAGCAGCACCAGCAGCAGCAGCAGCAGTTGGGGCAGCAGCAGCAGCACAAGCAAGGAGGGTTATGGCAGGGGCGGGATGAGCAGCAGGGAGGGCTGTGGGACGGTGGTAATGGGTGCGTGGTGGTGTCGAACGTTGAGCCCTCCGTATCAATGGACTCTCTGCGTGCACTCTTCGCAACATGCGGTATGTGCTGGGATCTTAGGCGCCATGAGCTTTGCACCATGAGCTTAGCTTATGCTCCAATACTGGATTATGCCTCGGCTGTTGTGAATTTTTCTACTTATTTTACTTTTTTGGGGTCCCCTCCGTCATGCTTACACCTGTTGTTTCTGATGCTTCCTCTCGCTCTATCACTCGCTTTGATTTCTTTGCTTTTCTCGCATTGCAGGAGACGTTAAGGAGGTCAGAGAAGTTCCTTCTCAGAAGCTTCACCGCCTTGTGGAATTTTTCGACATCCGGGCGGCTGCCCACGCGCTGCAGAAGCTGACCGGAACAGAGCTGGCGGGCAGGCAGATAAAGATTGAGTTTGCACGAGAAGGAGTCATGACAGAAGCAGTTGGAGCAGCAGGAGGATCGGGAGCAGGGGTAACAGTGGGAGCAGTGGGAGCGGTGGGGTCAAGAGCAGTGGATGCATGGCAGGGGAGGAGTCGAGGAAGAGAATGGCCTTCACATGGGAAACGGGGGGGGTCATATGCTGCTCGCGCCAACAGCAGGAGTGACAGCAGGGGCAGTAGCAGGGGAAATGGCAGCAGGGGTGACAGCATGAGCGGCAGCAGAGGCGGCAGCAGCTCGTCAAGTCAGGCGTCTTTGACCTCTCCCCTCCACGAATTAGCGTCTCCCTCTCACGGGTCAGCCTCGCCCTCCAACGCATCGACTGCTAGCAGCAGCTCATCGCACTCGCCTGGGCACATGCCCACCCAGCCTAACCCTGATCCCCCCCCTCCTTTCAAAGACATGTCTGCCTCGCCCCGTCATGAGTCAGAGCCTCCAGAAGGGGCCTCTCCTGCTGCTGCATCGAGTTCCACGTCTGCTCCTGCTGCTGCTGCTCCTTCCGATTGTGGTGATTCTCCAAAAGCTCCCGGGTGTGAAAGCCCTGACTTGAGAAGTCCAGGGGTGGAGAGCAGTGGTGGCAGGGGGGAGATGGGTGCAGATGGGTTGCTGCTATCAGGATCCACGCCTGGCACAGGCGGTACCAGGGGGGATGCAGTGAGAGGGGCGGATGTTGTAGCTTCCCTAGAGGAGCAGGTTACAGGCGACTGTGAGAAGGTATTGAAGGAAGGTGAGAAACTATTAAAGGTAGCTGAGAAGGTATTAAAACAAATGCTTGGGGACAGAGCTGAGGAGGTTTCTGATGAAGCTTCTGCGAGATTTTCTGAAGCTGGGTTAGCAGCAGGTGCTGATGCGGAAGGGGGAGAAGAGGAAGGAAAGTTGGTAGAGGAGGAAGGAAAGGCTGTTGAGAATGCAGTGGTGAAGGATGGGTGTTCAGCAGGAGAGAGAGAGGGCGAGAGTGGAGGAGAGAGTGGAGGGGAGAGTCCCAGGTCAAGCAGTGGGGGGTTGGCTGATGAGTCGGCGTCTCTTCCCCGAGAAGAGCTGGGCCGAGAAGAGCTGGGCCGAGAAGAGCTGGGCCGAGAAGAGCTGGCCCGAGAAGAGCTGGGCCGAGAAGAGCTGGCCCCTGCCTCATCTCCAGGAGAAGAATGCACGTCAGAGGACGGCAATCCAGATAGCGCTGCTCCAGTTACTAGTGCACCCATCACTACCGCCCCCATCACTAGTGCACCCATCACTACCGGCCCCATCACCAGTGCACCCATCACTACCGGCCCCATCACCAGTGCACCCATCACTACTGGCCCCATCACCAGTGCACCCATCACTACTGGCCCCATCACCAGTGCACCCATTGCTACCGCACTCAGCACCAGCACGCCCATGAGCAGTGCGACAGCAAGCACCCAGAGCTCGCCAGACACGTGGAGGTCAGACACGAGCGCACACAGCACCGTCAGCACGAGTGGCAGTTGCAGTGGTGGCGGCAGTGGCAGTGCCAGTGGCATCAACACTGGCGGTGGCAGCAGCAGCGCCAGCAGCCGTGGCAGCAACTTCCCTCCCAGTTGGCACGGACAGGCCTCCTCGGTGACCCCTCTTCCTCACGCGCCCCTGCACCTTCCACCGGATTCTGCCTCCTCACAAGCATACAGGCAGCACGGGCATGGCAGTGGCAGCACGGGTGACATTGGGTACAGCTACTTGCACCACCCACAGATGCAGTTCTCCGCTGCTGCACCGACAGGCTCAGCCACAGCAGCAGCCACACCAACAGCCACACCAGTAGCTACGCCCCACTGGTTCCGCCCTCCATTCCCAACCCCTACTACCTTCGTCCAACCACCCTTCGCTCCCCCGTTCTTTCAACCACGTATGGCCACGCCTGTGCCGAACCTGAGTCTTCCTGGCACGCAGGCGTTCATTCCGGGGGTTCAGGTCTGGGGGGGTCAGTACAAGGGGCAGCAGGTGCAAGGAGGCCACGAGGGGTGTTACATGCATGAGGGGCAGCAGCAGCAACAGTATCAGCAGCAGCAGCAGCAGCAGCAGCAGCAGCAGCAACAGTATCAGCAGCAGCAGCAGCAGCAGCAGCAGCAGCAGCAGCAGCAGCAGCAGCAGAAGCAATACCAGCAGCAACAGCAACAGCAATACCAGCAGCAGCAGCAGCAGTATCATCATCAGCAGCAGCAGCAACAGCAGCACCAGCAGTATCAACAGCAGAACCATCAGCAGCAGCACCAGCAGCAGCAGCAGCAGCCCGGGCCATATGAGCCTACTCACGCCCCTGTCTCGGTGCCTCTGCTGCAGCATCCCCACACTACCTACCCACACGCTCACTCCCACCTCATGCCCCTCATGCCCCACGCCCCGCCCTCCGCACCTCACACTCACGGTCACAACCCTCCCCATTACGCTTACCACTTCGCCCCAGGCATGCCGTACCTCCCACCTGCTGGGGCTGCTCCCTCTGCTTATCTTCCCTACCCTCCTCCGCCACCACTGCCCTTCTCTTCTCGCCATGCTGCAGATTCTTCCCTTCTCCCTCCTCCTCCTCCTCCTCCTCCCCCTCCCCCTCCCCCTCCCTCGTCTGCTGCGACTCATCTTTCCCTTGCTGCAATATCTGCTGGGGGGGCGTCTCCTGTTGTCTCATTCCCCACTTCTCTCTCCTCCTCTCCCCGATTCCCTGCCACCCCCACTGCAAGTGGCTCCCATGCTTCTGCTGCGGCTGCTGCTGCCCCTGCGGCTGTTAACCCTGCTGGCCCTCCTACCCCAACTGCCCCTACTGGGTTTGCTATGTACGGCCATGCTACACCAACACCCATGGGCGTGGGTTATCCTCCTATAGGAATCGTCAGAGCGGCAGCTGGAATGTTTCCATCTGCCCGTCCCGGGCAGATGCTGATGCATTGGAACGTGCCCGTGGCACAAGGAAGTGGGGGTGGGGGAGGAAGGGGAGAAGCAGGAGGCATGGGCGGGATGTGGATGGGGGGAGGAGCAGGGAGGGGAGAAGCGATGGGGGAGAGTGCAAGGCAGGGTTGGATGGAGGGATGGGGTGGGACGGGAATGAGTGGACACCTGCAGTATCGACATGCCCATGCCCATCCACATGCCCACTCGCATGTACATCCCCATGCCCATACTCATGCGCGTTCCCATGCCCATGGTCGTGTGCATGGTCATGGTCATTGGGAGGGGCAGCATGCTATGGGGGGAGACGAAGATGACATGGAAGAGGTACGACGAAGCTGCACTCTTGCAAAATAGCTGACGACATGCAGCTGCTGCTGCTGCTGCTGCTGCTGCTGCTGCTGCTGCTGCTGCTGCTGCTGCTGCTGCTGCTGCTGCTGCTGCTGCTGCTGCTGCTGCTGCTTGTGGGGATGCCCATGATGACGACGAGGCTAGCTGATGTTGCATTTGCCCTTCTTCGCATCTTTTGTCTTGTCTGTTACACTTACCCAATCGTCGCCTTCTACCTAATTCACTCATTTGTTTTCTGCTGTGCATCCTTCCTTCCCCTTTTCTCCTGTCTTCCCCGCCTCTTCCCATCCTTTCTCTGTCCCCGTCGCCCCATGCCCAGTTCGCATTTGTCGAGGAGGCAGCAGCGGCGGCGGCCAGGACAGAGGCCACCCAGCTGGCTGCCACGTCAGCAGGCAGGTGGCACCAGCGCGGACGGACACATGGCACTGCCGAAGAAACAGGGAAGGGGAGAGCAAAGGCGCATCGACCTCTGACGTGTTTGACTGATCTGGTCCAATGTGGCTTGACAGGTTCAAGTGACTATCGGAAGGGCACAGGGAGGGTGGTGGTGTCGCTCCCAAGTTTCACACGTGCAGAGAATGGTGGGGTGGCACTGGGAGAAGGAGACGTGAGGAGCACGGGCGAGAGGGAAGAGGCAGTGGGAGAAGGGGAGGAGACGACAGGAGGAGGAGGGGAGGTAGGAGGGGTGGGTGCAAATGATGCCCGAGAGCAGGTCAGCTTGAACAAGGAGAAGAATGAGGCCTGGGAACCTGAAGGGGCACACCCTCAGGTGGAATCTCAGGAGGGTGCTCAGGTGGGGGTTCAGGTGGGCGGTCAGGTGGGCGGTCAGGTGGGCGAGGGGGTGGCAAGGGGGCGGCGGGACGGCACGAGGACGACGGTGATGGTGCGCAACATACCCAACCGCTACAGCCAGGCCATGCTGCTGGCCCTGCTGGACGCCCACTGCCTGCACTGCAACTCGCACCCGCCCTGCCGGCCCTGGGCGGGTGGGAAGGCGATGGGAGGAGGGGGTGCACGAGGCAGGGGAGGTTCTCGGGGTGATGGCGGTGGTGGTGGTAATGATGATGGTAGTGGTGTTGATTCTGCTGCCGCTGCCGCTGCTCCTGCTGGCGGTTGTACTGATGGAGATGGGAGTGGCAGTGATTCGGGCAGTGACAGCGGCAGCAGTTCTCATGGTGGTGGGAGTGAGGCGGAGGAGGAGGAGCTCTGGGAGCCGCTATCTGCTTATGACTTTGTCTACCTTCCCATTGACTTCAAGTAAGTGATTCTTTCAACTGATTTTGGGTGATGATAATCGCGTTTGTACTCGTGTGTGTGTTCCAACCATGTATTCCACCTTTCCCACTTTCCTCACCTCTCACGACCGCTCTGCACTCCTTTCAGGAACCGGTGCAACCTAGGGTACGCGTTTGTGAACCTGACAACAGTGACGGCGGCGCTGCGGCTGTTCCGCGCCTTCCACTTTCAGCCCTGGGAGGCCTTCAACTCGAGGAAGGTCTGCCGCATCTCCTACGCGCGCGTGCAGGTGCGTTGTGTACTCCACATGGCGAGGTGATCGAAAATGTATAACTAGGCTTCACCAATGAGCTTCACACGCCGCGCCACCTTTTCTTTTCCCTTACTTTCTGAGCAAGGTGCTCACGTCACAATTTCTCCGTGTGCAGGGTCGGGCGGCGCTGGAGGAACATTTCCGCAACTCGCGCTTTGCCTGTGACACTGAGGAGTTTCTCCCGCTCGTCTTCTCCCCGCCCCGCAACGGCATCTCTTGCCCTCCCCCGGTGCTTGCCGCCGGTCACATGGCAGGCCAGCAGGTAACCCTCGCTGGTGGTAGCCACCACAGCACACTCACGTCTGACCCTAGGCCCCCCCGGCGCGATGTATTGAACCCGGGGCTTTTGCCAGGCATGGGGTTCATGCGTTCGACGGCGCCAAGCTCAGTTGTATCGTCCAGGAATAGCTCTAGTGTCCCTTCTAGAACCGCCTCGGTTGTTCCTTCTAGGACTAGCTCGTCTGTTTCTTCCAGGGCTGGCTCTCCAAGGTCAGATAAATAGAATGTTTCTACGGACTTGTAGTGTAGGATGCAAGCATGCCTTGGTGATTCTTCCTTCAGGATTCAGAAGACATATTTATGTGAATGCCCGAGTGTGTAAACAGCTGGGGGGAAGTGAGGGAAAAGAAAAGCTACCCTAGGGTAAAAACAGCAGCACACATTCAAACTTGGAGATGGGGGCTTTTGTAGGCCAGCTGTTCGATTTCCAACCAACTCGTCTGCTGCATACAGCTGGCGCGGATTCTGGACACGTCGGCCAATATGGGACCACCGAAAACTCACTGGTATTCCCAAAGGCTAGAAATTCACAAATTTCAGCACTCTGAATCGCTGGTCAGGGTCGCGCCTGACTGTAACCCGAGCGGGGGCCAGACTTTGGGATTGTCGCACACCTGCGAGACCCTCGGCCTGCCACATCGAGGACTCGTCCACTCCAAGCTGAGAGTCCGCAGCGGCACCGCCTCGAAAGGGGTGGTGACGAGGCGGTTAGAGAGGGGGGCACAGCGTGAGGCGGGAAACCGAGCAGCGAAAACCCCCCGCTCCCAGCGGTGGAGGGATAGCGAGGCTGAGTGCGCGGCCGAGGTTTCTCTTGCAGGCTCGGGCCACGAGACCATTCCCACACCCTTTTGCCTTCCTCGCTGAAGTTTAATTTTATCTAGCTCGCCATTTTCCGTGCCTTCTCCAATTTTTTGCCCGACGCGTCGCTGAACAATCGCGACATTAGGTTTCCCGGTTGTGCGTCGTCGACACCACCAATGCCCGTGCGCGCGTTTCCCTCCCAGTGCACCGCGTACCCCCGTGCTTCCTGTTTGCTTCTCCCCCCTAAACCCGCTTCCCCTTTGTTTCTCCCTCGTTCTTCTTGTTCGTAATAGCCCCCTCGCCCCTCTTCTGGCGTTGCTGAAGGATCCTTCGTCGATCGTCATGGCGGGCTTCATCTCGGTTGCGTTTTCCTCACATCCACGGCGTACCGCAGTGCGGGTGCTTAGTAGTCCTGCACTCGTTTCGACTCGCACGCGTGCAGCGCACGTCACCGTGTGAATGTAGCGTTGTATTTTTTGCTTAGCCTCCGCGCCTAATGTTCCGCCGCGCCTTATTCCCCCCCCCCCCCCCCCGCCTAATTCTCCCCCGCTCCTTATTCTCCCCCCCGCCTAATGCTCCCCCGCGCCTAATGCTCCCGCCTAGTGCTCTCTCCCGCCGAATTCTGCCCTGCGCCTAATGCGCCTAATGCTCGCGCACCTAATGATTGCCCGCAGCTCAACATCATGCGCCCCCTACTCTCCTCCGCCCTCTCGTGCACGCATCGGCGACGATAATGGCACGAGAAACCTGGGGATTGTGGATCTACCGCAGTCTGGGGGGGTTTACAGGGGACTGTTGGCCGGCTGGGACGTGCGAGTGGGAGGAGGATGTACGATCAAGACGGAGTGCGCGGAGAAGAGGGACATGATGATGACACAGCAGGCATGCATGTGGGGGGAGGACGTTTGCTATTATCGTCCTGGACGAGGGCAGTACCGGGGACTGTAACGAGGACATTAACGACATGGCATGCAATGAAGCATGTGTAGCAGCTGAGAAACGGTTGTGGCCAAGTAGCCGAAGTTCTAGCGGGCAGGTGAAGAGGGAGGGGTGGGGAGGGGTGGGGAGGGGTGGGGAGGGGTGGGGAGGGGTGGGGTGTGGTGGCGGCAGTCAAGAAGTTACGGAGGGGTGTGGTGGAGGCATTTGCCTGTGGACTCCATTGGGTGTGGGAAGGGGGACCAGGGCATGGGGGAGAAGAAGGTAAGTCAGGGCAGAGGGGGAAGGTAGGTGATACTCAGAGGAGCCCCTGCTTACTACCGGCTGTGGTTACCAGGTCGTGGTTACAAGCCGCAATTGCAAGAAAACCGTTTGTGGGAAGCAGCTGTTAGTAGATTTTGTCTCACAGGTGTTGAGTGTCAGTCGCTGTTCTTATGAATCTCCCCGCTATTGTCTCTTTTCCCCATTACCGCATGCACTCTCTTCTCCTGCGTCAATTCTTGCAGCAACGGCGGTTCCCAGTGCTAGTGTTGGTGTCGCTGTTTTTTAGTCCAAAGATGCAGTCACAGAGGATGAGTTGGTTGATGCGTCATGCTGTAAACAGTCACGCTCGTTTGGGGAAGGATTCACAAGGTGTGGACTTGGGTCAACAACACGCAAGTTGCAGCACAAGCAGGTCCGCTTGTGAAGCCAAGCACTGCAGTCTGATGAGGTGTTTATTGAGGCTGTGCTCACGATGCTGTGCTCATGAGGCTGTGCTCACGAGGCTGTGCTCACGAGGCTGTGCTCACGAGGCGTGCTCACGAGGCTGTGCTCACAATGCTGTGCTCACGATGTTGTGATCATGATGCTGTGCTCAAGATGCTGTGTGAAAGTGGCTTGAATGCATGTTGGTTCTTGTTTGGTGTGTTGCAGTGCAGCTCCCCTGACGGCAGACACTCAGCCAAAGCTTCTACGTTTTGAACCCATTTTTTCACTTGTGAAGCACCGGGACAACATTGTGTGTTTGCTTGTAGAGTAGCTTTGAAGTAACTTGGAAGCAGTAAAATGTATTGTGGTTGAACAAATCAGTGGCTTCTAATGAATCTGTATTGATGACTACCAGTGGAAACTTGTGCACTGTTTGTATCACATCATTCTCACAACATCCCCTCATTTGTGTGAAAAAAACTTGACGGACGGCAGTTTGCAACTGGCGCCGTTACTGATCATCAGTTTCTAGACGTCAATGGTGCTTTCGAGCATCCTGATCAACTGCAGTATTGGATGGAAAGAAGGATCTCGAAAACTCCTTGGAATGAACCACCACTGATATGCATCCACGTGTGCAATACAAGTTTTGCTGTGGTACACCGTCAATTGCCTTCGAACCGTCAGTCAGACTTTATGACCAATATTCAGGATTCCAGGTTCGCGCACCAACCAAAGCGCTCACGCGAGGCTAAAGTTCCTATTGAACCTTGCGTGTCCGCCACGTGGAAGATAACGTGGGGCTCACAGCTGCGAGCCTCACGGAACTGGCTCGAACCGTTCGTTCAGCTATTCCATCCACGGATCACAATGCATGATCCACCAAGCCATAAGGAAACACGCGCCTTTGACAACCAGCCAGCGAGATTTTCTCCAAACCGCACCTTTGATGTGAACAGCTGTGGTGACATGGCAATCACCACTCACAAGTGTATTTTGGCATCTTCCGTGGCTCAGATTCGTGGAAGGAATCGATGGCGTGCATTCCAGGACACGGGCTTGGCCCACATCCATCCATCCATTGCCCATCCAACATCGGGTGGATCATGGGATGGTAGGATGCGGGGGGGAACCACACCCCACCACGCGTTCCCTGCATATCCATCCACCCAACCAGCCAACCCCAAGGGCAGTGCAGCGTGGCATCAGTCAGTGGCCGAATGGCAAGGGTTGGTGGAGTGGGGAGGGGAAGGCAAGCCCATCCTCCCCCAATCTTTCTTCTTACGGTTTTCGCTGGAAATAAGCGCCCATAAAAAAGCCATTGCGTTCGGCAAAGTTGAACACGAGAGTACATCCTTCTATCATTCTTCCACTTCCAGACAGACCTATTACTCTACGTCGACTCCTCGTGTTAGGATCTTGTCTGCGGTTCCCGGGCTCGCACTCGCCACCACGTGCTGGACTCCCGAGATATTTGAACCAATAAGAGATTAACTTGCGAGACTTGATATCGCTGAAGGCTCTCTACCATGGCATGCCATCTTCAGCAACCTTTTCTCCTCGGAACTCATGAATCATGCCGTTTTGCCACCCATTCTCCAGTCAACCGCTCTCTTAAAGCAGCGACGCGTCGATCGTCGTCGCGCCAGCCGTTCGTAGCCATTCGCAGTCAAGGCGACGCGCATTGCAACTCAGCAGCCAATGATTTTCTTCCAGCAGAACGCGCAATCCCTCTCATCCGTTCCACGTCAGCAACCCCAGCCGCATCGGGCCCACAACGGGCGCAGCAGGGACTATGCGGGGACGCGAAACGCGGTGCAGGTGCATCCCAGGGAGGTGTTAACTGGGCGCGGTTGCGCAACCACATCGGCGTGACCTCCGTGAGCGCCGCGTCCTTCTCTTCCGCGAATAGGCGGAAAGAGGTGCGCGGATTCGTGGAAGAAGACGCGTCGCAGCGCGGGACCGGTGGAGACCAGAGCGACGCGGAGTCGAAGCGCGCGGAGCTCGAGGCAGGATGGCAGAGTGGTTCCGAGGGATCAATGCCGCCAATGGCGGCGCCAAATGCGGCGCCAGGCGCGGCGACAAGCTGTTCTCCCAGCGACGAGTTCGCGTGCACGATTGCCGGATGCACCCACGTCCACAGCAACGTCGGCTCCATGCGGAGGCTAGGAAACCTCTCAGAAACCTCCTTCCGAGCGGCTCCGCCGGCGGAATCCCGGCCGGTGCAGAGCGGTACCAAGGGGTTCAACCTGGGGCAATTTCTGTCGCAGCTGCTGCCGTACGTGGTGGTGGCGACGGCGGTGTCGGCGCTGACGTGGCCGGCTACGTTCGCGTGGTTCAGCAAGCAGTACTACGCGCCCGCACTGGGCGGCATCATGCTCTCCATCGGCGTGCAGCTCTCCGTCGAAGATTTCAAGGCCGCCATTGAAAAGTAAGTCCCTCCACATCCTCCCCCCCTTTCCCCACCTCCGCCCGCCGCTGCCTGATTTCAAAAGTCCATTGTAGTCGACTTAAAGAGTCCATCGGCTGCAACTGTCCGTCGAGGATTTGAAAAGTATGACGCGCCGCGACAGGCCTGGAATGAGGATTTGAAAAGTATGACGCGCCGCGACAGGCCTGGAATGAACTGACCAACTCTTCCGTTCTGCACCGTGCTCCTCTCGTTGTTGGGTTATTTGAGTTTAGTTCCGCATTCCGCTTCAAAGGAATGAAAATAACTGCCTCCTCGCTTGGCTCAGTCAGCTGTCCCCAGTCCCGTTCGACGTCTGTCTGCCCTCTGGCTCTCTGGTTCGCTTCTAGCACCGCTTCTCACTGCTTTCTCCCCCTCTCCTCCCTCTCCTCACGCTCTTCCCCCCGCCAGGCCTCTCCCCGTCATACTGGGTCTGCTAGTGCAATACGCCGTGAAGCCGCTCATCGCGGCCGCCATAGCCGCCTCCTTCCGCCTGCCGCCCGCGTTCGCCGCGGGCTTCCTCCTCACGGCCAGCGTGTCCGGCGCGCAGCTCTCCAGCTACGCGTCCTACCTGGCAAAAGCTGACGTGGCGCTCTGCATCGTCCTCACAAGCCTCAGCACCTTCGCCTCCGTGGCACTCACCCCTATCCTCACCTCGCTCCTGATTGGCTCAGCCGTCCCGGTCGACCTCCTAGCCATGTCCAAATCCATCCTGCAAGTCGTCATTCTCCCAGTCTCCCTCGGCCTCATCCTAAACACCTACGCGCGGAAATTTGTCGACCAGATTCGGCCAATCATGCCGCTGCTAGCCATAGTCTGCACGTCCCTCTGCATAGGCAGCCCTCTAGCCATCAACCGGTCGCAGATCGTCTGCCTAAGCGGCCTCCTGCTGCTCCCGCCCGTCCTCGCCTTCCACCTCGCGTCCTTCGCCGCTGGGTTCTGGTCCGCAAAGCTCCCCGGAATGGGGCAGAGTGATGACGTGACGAGGACTCTGTCTCTGTGCGGTGGCATGCAGAGCAGCACGCTGGCCATGCTGCTGGCATCTCAGTTCCTCGGGCCTACCCACACGGTGCCTGCCTCGGTCTCTGTTGTGCTCATGTCGATTATTGGGCTCAGTCTAGGAAGCTTCTGGGGGTCGGGAAGGAAGCTTCTGGACTGGAACAAGGCTGGGCCAGTTGTGGGGGCCCAGGCATACGCTGCTCCTGCTGAGGCGTAGCGGGGGGAAGCAATGCCAGGGTATACATTAGAGAATGACCGGAGGTTTTCTGTAGCATTGTTTTCAGGATAGCTTATCGCAGCTGCACAGGAGAGCGCAAGCTGGAAGGTGGAGCTGAAGACAAGAGCTGGTTACAGGAAGGGGAACATATGTTAGTAGCTGCCTGTCACATGTAGTGTAGGTGGCCATTCTTTTTGGCATGGTTGTGTATAATCTGCAGCCATGTACATACATTTAGCATGAATATGCTGTGTCTCTAAATGGTGGCATTGGTTGGCTGTCATTGAAGCGGTCTAGTATAATTTCTGTTAATCTTGGTTTTGACATTGTAAGGAAAATTCCTTTTCCTTACTTCGCGTCCCTGCTCAGCGTGTACAAACACTGACAGTGTAAGGAATTTTCCCGAATTCCTTATCGGGGTTGACTGCTTTGCGTACAGCCCCGATTTTCGGACTCTGCACGTTTGGCCGACATCAACGATGCCGAGCCTCCTCGCGTCGCCTTCAGGTTTTTCCTCTTCGCCAAACCTGCACCCAACCTCACTCACCCGAAGTTCCCTCCCAGCTAGCCTACTCACTATATAAGCATGTACCATCATTTTATAATCAGTCTGTTCAATCACTTCTCGTTATTCGTTAAACTGCGCACTCTCTTTTACAACTCATAACACCTGGTATCAGAGCTACTTTCCTAGTTCACCCCACTTTTTAGAGGGTAGTTTGGTGGCACGGGTTGGCTGGTATAAGTGTGTTAAGATAGTAGGCAGTATGAGGAGCCATGGCTAGGGTTTAGCTAGCCAGGCAAGAGAGAATAAGCAAAAAGGGAGGGTTGGACTAGCAAGCAGGTGGATACATATAGGAAACCCTAGATTTGGCTGTACTCACTATTGAGTACCCCACTGCAGGCTAGACAAATATAACATATTCTGACACACCCCCATAGCATCCAACCTCACTCACCCGAAGTTCCCTCCCAGCTAGCCTACTCACTATATAAGCATGTACCATCATTTTATAATCAGTCTGTTCAATCACTTCTCGTTATTCGTTAAACTGCGCACTCTCTTTTACAACTCATAACACTTGGTATCAGAGCTACTTTCCTAGTTCACCCCGCTTTTTAGAGGGTAGTTTGGTGGCACGGGTTGGCTGGTATAAGTGTGTTAAGATAGTAGGCAGTATGAGGAGCCATGGCTAGGGTTTAGCTAGCCAGGCAAGAGAGAATAAGCAAAAGAGGAGGGTTGGACTAGCAAGCAGGTGGATACATATAGGAAACCCTAGATTGGGCTGTACTCACTATTGAGTACCCCACTGCAGGCTAGACAAATATAACATATTCTGACACACCCCCATAGCCAAAGTGGGGTGTAATCAGCACAAGAAGCAAAGCAAAGCAAGCTCAGGGTGGATCACAATGTCACCACACATTTTGAACACAAGTACAAGAAGCAACAGTTTAAAGTTCACAAATGTAAGCAAAGCTAGAGGCTATCGCAGAGGGCAAGTGTGGAGCAAGAGGGACTATGAGAGGAGAGCAGGTAGTGGGCGGCAGCTGAAGCTGCTGGCACACGGCGCAACTGGAGCAACTGGCACACGGGCAACTGGAGCAACTGGCACACTGGCAACTGGAGCAACTGGCACACGGGCTACTGGAGTAACTGGCTCCGCGGCTAACTCAGAGCGGCAGGAGCAACGGACTCACGGGCGACTGGAGCAACTGGCTCACGGGCGACTGGCGCAACGGGCTCACGGGCGACTGGCGCAACGGTCTCACGGGCGACTGGAGCTGCGGGCTTCACTGCTGCCACCCCCCTTCAACCTCCCCAAACTGTCCCACCCCCCTATGACACACACCCCCTGCTGCACCCTAGGTTCACTCACACCCCACCCCCTAGTACCACTCCGTCGACTCCCACACACCCACCCCCTAGCACCACTCCATCGGCTCCCACACACCCACCCCCCTCAGCGGCAGCTGCAGCAGTGGGAGACGGAGTAGGAGGAGGAGCAGGGGATGCCACACACCCGCCACCCCCTACTCGCCACCCCCAAACCCTAACACAGGGCAGGGCAGGATGGCGGGTAGGGAGGTTACGGGGGGGGAAGGGGGGGGGGGGGGGGGGGGGGGGGGGGGGGCAGGGCCGCGACGAAGAAAGGAGGGGCCGAGGCGCGGCCCCCCAGGGCGCCAAAGCAGGCGACAGAAGGGGCGACGCGCGGCCCCCTTAGGTCGCGGCCCCCTCAGGTCGCCTCGACAGGCGACGGGAAAAGGGGCCGGGGCGGGGCCGCGACGGGGCCGCGACGAGGCCGCGACAGGCGTCGGGGCAGGGCCGGGGCGGGGCCGCGACGGGGCCGTGACGGGGCCGCGACAGAGCCGCGGCGGGCGAAGGGGCAGGGCCGGGGCAGCACCGCGACAGGGCCGCGACAGGGCGGCGTCGCGGCGACGGGGCAGGGCCGCGACGGGGGGCCGCGACAGGAGCCGCGACGGGGGGCCGCGACGGGGGGGCCGCGACGGGAGGCCGCGACGGGGGGCCGCGACGGGGGCCGCGACGGGGGGCCGCGACGGGGGGCCGCGACGAGGGCCGCGACGAGGGGCCGCGACGGGGGGCCGCGACGAGGGGCCGCGACGTGGGGCCGCGACGGGGCCGCGACAGGGGCGAGGCACCGCCGCGCGCCACGGGGCGCCCGACGGTCAGAAAACCACCGCGCGCCACGAGCGCGCGGCGGGAAGAGAAAAGGGCCGCGCGCCATAGGCGCGCGGCAGGCAGGCGCGCGCTCGAGGCGCGCGTTAGGCAGAGTAGTAGCAGCGGAAGCAGGTGGGCTCACAGGCCAAGAGCGTAACAGCTCTGATAACATTTTAAGATAGTAGGCAGTATGAGGAGCCATGGCTAGGGTTTAGCTAGCCAGGCAAGAGAGAATAAGCAAAAGAGGAGGGTTGGACTAGCAAGCAGGTGGATACATATAGGAAACCCTAGATTGGGCTGTACTCACTATTGAGTACCCCACTGCAGGCTAGACAAATATAACATATTCTGACAAAGTGGACTACACGACGGTTATCAAACATATGTGTATATTTGCTATAGTTTGGTTAGGCTTAGTGGGGTACTCACTGTGGGGTACAACCCCTTAGGTTTCTCCTTTGTATCTTTTCCCTTCGATAGTCGACACACAACTTTCCCGTAAGATTCTGACATGGTATTAAGAGCTAGGACGTTCCTAGCCTAGGACGATTTTTTTTTTTAGGGCCCACCGTTAAACCTTCCGTGTTCCTGCCCGAATCTCGTTCTCTGCTTTTTTCTGCCCGAAATGCGCCCTTAGGTGCATCGATTTTCGCTGCCCCGCGGCCCTGCCCTGTCCTGTCGCGCGTAGCCAGCGAGCAGCCCGTACAGCCCCCGTCTGGCCTTCGCGCCGCCCGTACAGCCCGCGCCACGCCCGCGCGCGGCCCGTATAGCCTACGTTAGGCCCCCGCGCGGCCCGTACAGTCAGCGCTAGGCGTTAGCGCAGCCCGTACAGGCCAAGTCAGGCCCGAGAGCGGCCCGTACAGTCCGCGCTAGGCATTCGCGCAGCCCGTACAGGCCACGTCAGGCCCGCACGCGGCCAGTACAGCCCACGCCAGGCTTACACGCTGCACTGCGCCTGTGTTGCTGCTTCTACTTGCTGCCGCTGCTGCTACTTGCTGCAGCCGCCCCTGCAGCAGCCGCCCCTTGCCCCTGGAGCAGCCGCCCCTGCAGCAGCCGCCTCTGGCCCCTGGAGCAGCCGCCCCTGCCCCCCCCCCCCCCCCCCCCCCCCCCCCCCTAAAGCAGCCGCCCCTGGTCCAGCCGCCCCTGAACCCAGAGCAGCCGCCCCTGGCCCCTGAAGCAGCCGCCCCTGGTGCAGCCGCCCCTGGACCCTCGAGCAGCCGCCCCTGGACCCAGAGCAGCCGCCCCTGGCCCCTGCAGCAGCCGCCCCTGGAGCAGCCGCCCCTGGACCCAGAGCAGCCGCCCCTGGCCCCTGCAGCAGCCGCCCCTCGAGCAGCCGCCCCTGGACCCAGAGCAGCCGCCCCTGGCCCCTGAAGCAGCCGCCCCTGGTGCAGCCGCCCCTGGACCCTCGAGCAGCCGCCCCTGGACCCAGAGCAGCCGCCCCTGGCCCCTGCAGCAGCCGCCCCTGGACCCAGAGCAGCCGCCCCTGGCCCCTGCAGAAGCCGCCCCTCGAGCAGCCGCCCCTGGACCCCGAGCAGCCGCCCCTGGCCCCCAGAGCAGCCGCCCCTGGCCCCTGCAGCAGCCGCCCCTCGAGCAGCCGCCCCTGGACCCCGAGCAGCCGCCCCTGGCCCCTGAAGCAGCCGCCCCTGGTGCAGCCGCCCCTGGACCCTCGAGCAGCCGCCCCTGGACCCAGAGCAGCCGCCCCTGGCCCCTGAAGCAGCCGCCCCTGGTGCAGCCGCCCCTGGACCCAGAGCAGCCGCCCCTGGTGCAGCCGCCCCTGGATCCCGCGACGCCGCCCCTGGACCCGCGACGCCGCCCCTGGACCCCGTGCAGCCGCCCGCCGAGCGCCGGCCCTGCTCGCCCGGCGAGCGCCTGCTCTACCCGACACTGGTGAGCACCTGCCTTGTTAGCGCGTTGCCGCGCCATCTGCCTGCCTGCCTGCCTGCCAGCCTGCCAGCCTGCCTGCCTGCCTGCCTGCCTGCCTGTCTGCCTGCCTGCCTGCCTGCCAGCCTGCCTGCCTGCCTGCCTGCCTGCCTGTCTACCTGTCTGCCTGCCTACCTACCTGCCTGCCTGCCTGTCTGCCTGCTGCGCCTGCTCTGCTAGGCTACTGCTACTGGTACTGGCGGTGGCCAGATGCAGCTCCAGCGACGTCCGCGCGAGTCTCTCACGCCCCAGCAGCTTCGTGAGTGGTATGCTAGTTGGGGTTGTGGCGGTAGTCGTCGTAGCTGTCGCCCTAGAGCTGGTCAGTTGGGAACGTCTGGCGGTGGCCGGCTGCAGCTGCAGCCGCGTCCACGCGAGACACTTACGTCCCAGCAACTTCACG